GGGGGGGGTTACAGGTATGGCATTTGGAAACTCTCGGTCACTGTTACGTTGGCTGAGGCTCGGCCTTCGTGTTCAGCGGCATCGAGCTCTTCGAGAAGTTTTTGGTAGCATCGAGGGTTCTTGATCAGATAGTAGAAGATGGCTCGGAGGGAAATGGCAGTGGTGTCACTCCCGGCTAGTCTATCCTTTTGTTAATGCTCCTGGGTTAGATGTGGGAATGGAAAGATAACTTGCAGGTTATTCATCAAGTGATTCATTAGATCGCGGTGAGGCATCCTGTCTGGCGACTTCTCCCCTTCTTTTCTAAACCACGCAAGGAAATCATTTCTGTCTCCCCCGCCGCCTTCACTGTCGTACCTCTCAATGGCATCTTCTACCATCTGTGGAGATATTTTAGTTTTAGTACATACTCGTGCGCTATCTCCATCCTCCACAGAAATTACGGGCTCTTCTTACCTTTGTAACCTTCGGTACTGGATCTGCCCTTTCTATGGCGGGAATATGCGACAGATATTTCATCAACAGATTATTCCCAAGTAACCAAGGATGGAACTCCGGTACTTGTCCAATAATACACCCATACCATAAACCGGCCTCAATACCCGCAATGATATCCCGCACATCCCTTCGCTCGTCCATAAACCCAAACCGGCGATTGAAGCTAATGGCACCAATGACATCGAAGGCATACCACTGCAGCCATGCATTAAAGTCCACAATCTGGTTGCAAGAAGCGTATTCACGCATGTTTGACACGAAAATGTTCGTGCATTCGTTGACCTTGGGTTCGAATTCTCGTAGAGCGGAGAGAGAGTATTTATTAGAGACAGCTTGCTTTAACGCCTTGTGCTGGACGGGATCGGGAGTTGAGAACATGCTGTGCATTGTTTCACCTCTGTAGGGGGTGCTGAAAGGTTGGTAGAAGTCAGTCTGATAAGTGTTAAGTGTTAGTCTACAGAATATAGCAAGAGGGCATCATGCGATGATGAGAGGTAGGCCGACAAAATAGAGACACCCAAATAGTCTTCAATAGAAAAACAAGAAGAGATGGATAAATACCTTCAAAAACTTATTGTTCGTCCCATAGATAACAGGAATCATGGTCGGATCCGCAATAGCAACATGATTAGGCCCGGTCCTGACAACCTTTCCATACTTTTGATGGAGTTTTTGGAAAGTTTCGTGTGCATCCCCGCGCGACGCAGTTAAAAGATTCCAAAGCCTTGAGTATGCTGCAAGACGTGGACCCGGTAATTGTCTCAACCCAGGGCGGAAGCGCACGTAAAGGCTATGAGACACAAATAAGACGAGAAGAATCGTGATGAGGGTAACAGGCTGTAGAAAACAGATGGTGTGCATTTTGTCCATAATAAAAATGGGTAAGAAAGACATGAGTCTCCAAGTTGAGCATTTCTGGACATCTTGTAGATTGATGAGCGTTATATATGAATTGGTCTCTACGGCTCCAGGTTCGAAACTGAAGTCAGGGGGACGGGAAAGCGGGGAAGCGGAGAAGCGCGTTATAGATCCTCCGCAACGTGAAGTCTCTGAAGCAAGTTGACCTCGATCAAGATTCAGGATCTCTCCGCGTTGTCTGTATAATGACAAGCCGACTAAGCCATCTATGCTTAAGGTGTCTAGACATCTTTGCCGCATACAAATCCCGCTGGAGCGGGTTGTATGCCACGTGACTTGCGGATAGATGGGATCCGCAAAGATAGGAACGCTCATTGCCTTACCTAGATAGGTAATGAGCTCTATCAGCTCTACTACTGTGAGTACCATCTGCGTAGTATAAAATGGGCCTTTCTCATCCAACTTCCAACTGCCACTTTGCAAACGCTCTTGATATCTTGAACCTCTTCCTTCTCCCCTTTAGACCTCCGTTCGGCACTTTACACCTATCTCACGCGGCAGCATCCTCAAATCATCATGACAATACCTACGGGAGAAGGTGCCAGTCGCATCGTACGTGTAGCAGCTACGCAGGTAGAGCCGGTATGGTTCGATCTACACAAGACTGTCGACAAGGCTTGCGCGTACGAAACCTCCCATGCTTGATCCTATGTTGAATCGGTCAAATGGTTAACTCTCTTCAAGTCTGATTACTGAAGCAGCCGAAAATGGGGCACAACTCATCAGCTTCCCCGAAGCCTTTATTCCTGGATATCCGGCTTGGATCTGGTAAGCAGTGCTGCCCTATGACCCGCAACGGACCCTTACCTGGTACCTTACCTTATGAATCTGACAGCCATATCACGGGATCTAGGACACGACCGTTGGATTTTGCTGCCAATGCAAAATACATCAAGAACTCCCTCAAAATAGACTCGCCAGAATTCCGCAAGATCCAAGCCTGCGCAGCGAAGAATAAGATCGTGGTATCCCTCGGCTTCTCGGAAAACGACGAAAACTCGCTATACATCGCACAGGCGACCATTGATTCCGACGGCGCATTGTTAATGAAACGCCGCAAGATGAAGGCTACGCACATGGAGCGGACCGTCTATGGAGAGGCGAGTGGGAACAGCTTGATAAACGTCTCTAAGACGAATCTCGGATACCGTGTGGGGTCACTGGCGTGCTGGGAGCACGCGCAACCGTTGCTCAAGTACAACACGTACTCGCAGAGGGAGGAGATCCATTGCGCTGCTTGGCCACCGCTGGATCCCCACAATGGTGGTCCGGACCTATGGTCGTTGTCAGCAGAAGGTATGGCTTTGTCTTTTCTCTCTGTACCCATCTCTCAGATTTCATGAACGATGCAACGGGATTTGGCTTGTGACAATTTCTCACGACCTTTTCTAATTAGGCTGTCAAACTTTCTCCCGTACCTATGCCATGGAATCTCAAGCCTTTGTCCTTCATAGCACAGGCATAATCTCTCAGGAAGGAATCGAAGTGATGGACACCTCCAAAGGAGCTATCATGGCTACTCCTGGTGGTGGCTACGCTGCTATTTTCGGTCCTGATGGACGTCAGTTATCGGAAAATATACCGTGTACGGAGGAAGGCATTGTTTATGCAGATCTGGTCATGGACGATGCTCTTAACGCAAGAGCATTCCTTGATGTGTGTGGGCATTACAGCAGGGCGGATATGCTATGGCTAGGAAGAGATACTAGCGAGCGGAAGTGCGTAACTGACAAAGAGTCGGTGGAGGAGAATATATAGTCGGTAAGGCACGCATGTGACCTCACTTATATCAGGTATATAGCAACGTGCTCTAAATCGCTTCTTGAATCTTGAGACTTTCACACACTTAACCAAGGACCATCACAATAATCGTGGAAGCCAAGTTGTACTCTGGCTATTTGGGCTCTCAATACTACATATATATAAAACCAGGATTTTCTTCGTTAAGATCGTATTCCGAGTGGCTTTTGAAACATGTACAGAGGCCATTGCTCCCCGTCATATCCAGATATTATTCATGTCCGAATAACCAATCCAGCCCGCGAATGTCTGGAAAGCTCTCTAGCATTATGATTTGGTCCATCGCGTTTTGCATATACAACGGATCCCATTCTACATCTGCCCCGACCTCATAAATTGCATCAAGAGTCGAGTCCATTTGGGCCTCATTTCCACTCATATCGTCCACTGCAATTGTAGTGCCTGGGAGTTGAGTAGTACCCACGACACCATCGCTCCTAACAACTGACTTGTAAAAAGGTAAGGGAGAGCTCAGCGGCAGCGGCAGAGCCCATGCAACCTTCCATTTATGCGCCAATTCTTGTAACACCTGTATAACTTTATCAACCCGGACTTGCCATGAACTGCGCATGTCCACCAATGCATCTAGACAGATTCTCAAGCCGCTCGTGGCCTGGCGTCCCAGAACTGTCTGTCCCGATGTTGCATTGAGAAGATGAATGACCGCCGCGCTTGATATATAGCTGATGATGTGTGGTAACACCGTCTTAAAACCTTGTATTCTGGACCTCTTAAAGGCACGAAGAATGCGCGAAATTGACGCAGCGGCACTGGTCACAGAGCGCAAAGCGAAGCGGAGGATTGTACTATTTGGCGGCGAGTACAAGAAAGGCCGATGGACAAGTAAGAGGGCAGTGTGATAGGCAAGATGAAGATATACAACGCTGTCTGGCATGTGATCCTTTCTGATTTGAAGGCAGTCTTCAAACTTGTTGCGGAAAGATGTCAGACCCTCGTGGGAGCGAAGCAGGACTTTGTTTTTCTCAGCATCGGAGAGCTCGTCCCAGCCGAATGCATAGCTGTAACATGTATTAGTAGATGAAACTGGATCTTGACATGGTTCGGGGGAGGATGCAGACATTTGATCCATTAAAGAATCCCATAGGTGCCATAGTTGGCCTTGCCTGTAAAAGGACAATTCGTCGATAGTTTCTTGGCCGTCGACTATAGCTATAAAACCAGGAAGCTTGACGCGTCCAAATGGCATGGTGCAGTTCATGCCTAGAGTATGGTTCGCAAACCTGATTGATGTTAATGTGCTCTCTGATCACTTCATCTATTTGAGCACCAACCTTTCAACAGAGAAGTAAGCCCAGAAAGTCCGAATCCTCCGCGATAATACGCCTGAACGAGGCCCTGCGAGCTGTTGCGCTGGATTATCACGTGCAGTTATATGTAACCCTAGTTGCAATGCGAGTCCCGTTGCCATAGCTATTAAGATGTATTAGCCCGTCGTAAGAAAGCTGGATGTGAGGAATCTTACAGTTCAGATTATAGCCCATACTATCATTACCCAACACAAGTTCGCGCCAAGCTAAGAGCGACAAGCCCTGAACCACAGCTTCACACGGAACATATCTAAGGCAGTGCAAGGAAAGCTGCTCTGCGTAGCTGGCGAATTCACTCGCTATACGCAGCGAGTCGGGCAGTGGAGAAAAATGGCAGGCGACGGCGAATAGAGCACAGTTCCGAAAACACAGCTCTATCGATTGGGTAACCTGGTCACCAAGTACGATGTCTTCGGACTTCTTGGTATCCAGATATTGATGGTAAGGGTTATAGTACTTCATAAAGCACTCCAAAAGATGCTGGCGAAGGTTTGCGTCGTTGAGATACTTTCGGAGGGGATCTTTAACCTCAGGAAAGTTAACTGGATTTTTAACCCCCGCTATGACAGCTTCGCTATTCTCTGAGAGGATACTCCGTCCCATCGGGATTATGAAGGACGGCTCTCCTCGATCTTCAATACCCATCGACAGCATCAGTGATCCGAGTTCGTCCATCGCAGTCTGCGATCTGTGGACTATGATAGGAGGGGTTGAGGGATCTTCAGCCTCGTCCAAGAGGATTTGTTTTCCGTGACCAGAATCATTGGAGGCAGCCATATCTGATGTGGACATACTAGTACTATAAACATCCCTGAGCCTATTCTCCTCATGACTACTGATGGCCTCATAAGCCTCTTTGCGGCTGGACTCGGCCAGTAAGGTCTTTAGGGTTGCAATTTGATCCTCAAGACTGTGGACATATTCCTCATCCCAGTATTTGCGTCTACCCCAAACAGTTAGTAGAGGACAGGATGCCGGAATGTCAGGCATACTTCTTAACTGAAGTCTCTGGAGGATATATACACTGTTTCCCAGACTTCTCGCACAGTGCACATGCTGGCAGTTGGCCATTGCACTTGAGTATTGAATGTCAGTAAAATGGGCGTCTTGCGTGCAAAATGTGTATCAACCTTCCGTTTATTCTTTCTACATCCTTCGCATGCGATCTTTACTCTCTTACGGGACTCGTCGACAGCCTGATGCGCCTGGGCGTCCATATAATCCAGAATCGGAGTGTGTTGTTATTTCTTAATCGTATAACCATCAATTTCAGACGAAAGCAGGTTGTCAAGGTAGCTAGACCTAAGGCTGATAAGGCTTCAGTTCAGCGAGCGGAAAAAGCCGGAAGTTTGGAGGGAAGCGTTTGGTCAAAGGTGGATCCTTATGATAAAGATATCCTTTTGATAAAGATGAAGGTAATTAATTGTATTGCTAAATGATGACTACAGAGGTGCGCTATGCGTATATATATGCGTGTGTATATAAAAGGTGTGGCTGGGGCTGACCCACTCACGCGTGACATGCGTCATGTGATCCTCTGTTTACGTAAGGCGTCAGATCGCCCAGGTACACGATACATACATACAACGCCGTGGGCAAGATCTCGATGCATTCTGATTGGATAGACGAGGAGATGAAGATATGAAGATATGTGCTTTGCAATAGCAAGAGCGCCTTGTCGGTAGCGGGCAAATGCCAAGCGCCACAGTCCTACCTTCTGTGATTGTTCCTCGATGGCTTGCGGCGCTCTCGTCTTCGCCAGGACTGTTGGGAGCCTTATGTCTCTCACAGTATGGGGGGCTACAAAGCACGCACGTCTGCGACCGGACCTCTTGCAAGACCTAGTTTCTCTAGGCAAGAGATAAATGGGCTTATATTAGACGCCACACACGCCACTTTACACCCCACGACTCCATGACTCGAAGTTCGCATCCATCCACTCTACTGACCCAGCGTTATCATTAAGCTAGGTAAAATCAGATCGGAGTATTGTAATCACGTGGCGTTATGAAAATCTCGTTCACTACCAGGCATGGTGGAGTAGATGTCCAAGGCAGTGGCAGGATCCGTCAGCTGCGTCCAATCGAAATCCATGTTAACCACATTAATATCGAAGTTTCTGTAACCCTCTTCCCAAAGGCCGGCATCACCGCTTGTGGTCTCAAAGCGGAGCATGTGGTCGAGGGACGGATTAGTGGACTCCGGAAAGGGGACGGTTGTATCGATATCGCTGTTATTCGTCAGCGTGAGCGGGACAAATGCGTTCGAAGTGTTATTGGCATGAGTAGATACATGAGGTGGAATGATCGAAGCGGAGGTATCTGGGGTTGTGGTTGACTCTGATGGAATGCGAGATCGGAGATTTAGAAGGAATTGATGTCGTGCTTGGATGTGGGAGTTGCCTTTATCTGCCATCCAACGCAGAACACCCAATGCCATATCCATGGCAGCATTATCCCGATCGTTGACGGGGAAGGCAATATTGACCATTACAAGAACAATAGCAGCAGAGAAAGCGTGCTCTCCGTCCATATACCTAGTAGCTAGTCAGTCAATCTGTCGAAAATAATCAGGTTGCCTATTCTAAAATGGGCTTCACATACCCATACGTCGCAACAAGATTCTGCTTCGCGGCATAATGAAGCATAGTAGTGCTATCCCTCGAAGCAGAGATACAAGCTTCAATAACCGCAATCGTTGGCTCAGATAGACCGTGCTTCCAGTCTGTTCGCTTCTCTACTTCTCGGTTCTCGAGCCGCTTTTTAACGACATGGAAGAGGAGCGGGCGAGCGGTCATGTTTATGCACTGATAGTAGTGGAGGAAAATGGAGACTGCTTCACGGTTTATTTGTTGGTCTGCGCGGGAGAAGTCGAAGCGTAGCGCTGGAGGAAAGCCGCGGTACCAGCTAGACAGGTCGGACATGATGCTTTGCACAGACGCAATGAGGGTCAAGCCTGTTTTGCGGCTCTTGCGATAGATGCCTGGATGGGTCAGGAGCTTCTTGAAGGAGTAAGACAAGACGTAAGGAGCCTACAAAGAACAAGAGAAAACGAAAAAAGAAAAGTAGGAAACAATCCGCAGGAAAAGGTTTTATGAAGCTACAACTGAGGCGTTTTCTGGAAGGGCTCTGCTAGAGAAAACATAAGACTGCTGTTGGTGAAATATGAAATAGTAAGAACCCACTTTCACTGATTTTTCCGAGGATTCGCGAGAGCTCTGTGTAATGCAGAAGCACTGTTGCTGGACATATCTCTTCTTCTATGCCAGGCTGGATGGCAACGTTAGCAGGATGCTAAAATGTGGTGCAGTCACTCCACTAACAAGTCGAGATGGTGGAAAGACGCCGATATCCTCGTCTATTGGTAAAAGTGACTTAGTAAGAGTCGGCCATCAAACGGGGACCCATGACCATTACCTGTGATCGTAATGGGATTGCCTGACTTAGCACATAGAATCCTACAGTAGATCAGAGGTCTAATCCCCAACTTTTGGAGTATAACACTACCTGTCCATACTGTACACTGACCACCACAGGCGACGGCGGTGCTCCCGAGCCACAATATCCAGGGAAGGCTCAGATATCTCCCGGTGGAGACCGAGCGATATCGCCATACGCAGTGCTAGCCCGATCTGTCTAACTGATAAGTACTTCAGATATATCGGCAGGGACTTCGGGACTGACATAAAGAAAGGCAGCATCACGCCTATTAAGGTTTTGCATAAAGTATCCAACCAGCGACAAGACTTCGACGAAGAGTACGGAGCCTTCCTCATGGATATCGGGAAGTAACTGGAGGGCTTGCATGAAATATTCGAATCCCGGAGGTCCATCAGGACCACTCCACTCATTGACACTGTACATTTGGCCATATGCGAGGACGAGTAGAACCTCACAGTAGCCCAGACAAGCTTCTCGATCGGCTATGTCGAGAGTACGAGAATAGGCCTGCTGCAGTCTATTCTCGAAGAGAGTGGGCTCGACAAAGGAGAAGATAGTACCGATGTATAAATATTGCACCGAGAACAAACGTTTGGCAACATTGTACGGTGGCAGCTGTGGAAGTCGGGTCAGGGAGGGTCTTCGTGCAGGCCATGCGGCGGGGTTGTAAGGTAGACCACGAATCTCTATATCGAGAGCGCTGTCTTCGGAACGGAAGGATTTGATAAGGTTCCGGGCCAAGCTTTGAGAGGATGAAATATCGCCAACGTCCTCGTATTCTTTTCAATGTCAGTTTCATTTCAAAGGCAAGCGAGGGACTGGAACTAAACAATGGAGATTCAGTACAGAAATCAAGGTTCCTTTTAAAGCGAAACCCAGCCGCCCATACATTTAGGTAACGGAGGAGCGTCTCAGGCAATTACATTGCCTCGAGTTGGTGTTGAAGTCTGTGAGGTTTGATGGGGTACCCGTGTGACTTACTGGGCACGCCATTTTGAGTCATCACCAATCGTGGAAGCTCTTCCAACAAGAAAGGTACATCATCTCCTCCATCTGCTTCGTCTGTTCCACCAGCGTAGCCTGGCGAAGACCTCCGTGCCTCAGAAAAGTTGGAGCTACCGCGAGCCGCACCACTACCGCCAGGGTCTGGTGAGCGAGGTCTTGTGGCATCTGGTCTGAGGTCAGAAATCAAACAAATGGGGCGGCTCCTGACTTGCCTTCATATGCCTTGACACGCGCCTCGAGATCCCGGACATAGCTGGAAGGGATTAGTCCAACAACGTGCATCAATCGGGACCAACGCCTTACGTTTCCGGGACGTATATTCGGGGTCCAGCCTCCACATACATGCAGCCATGGCCGCCGCGGGAGCAATTTCGACACTTCGGCCTGTCCTGGAGGATGAAGTCAGATGCAATTCATCAAACGGGGCGAGGCAATGCCAGGAGCGGACACATACCCCACTGCACTTGATCTTCTGCTCTCGACATCGTTTGCAGCTGTGTCCATGTCAGACAGGAGGCCGCGGGGAGGGTTGAGGATTGAGGATTGAGGACTGGGGACTGGGGACTGATTCTCCGAACTCACGCGGTAGTTGTCTTCCTCAAGGGATCTGCGGGCGTAGAGGGATGATGAGGAGCGCGCGAGCTCCCTCTGGAGGATCGTCGTGCGGCAGGGTGGGAAGTGGTCGGCGAAGACATGGGAAAGTTGAGAAAGCAACTGTACGGAGGACTGCAGCTACTTGAGCGGAGGGGGGTCTTGCCCTGGCCCTGCTGATAGCGAGCCGACGGGTGAGACGGCGGCTGCGAGACTAACCGGAAGGGGCATGAATGAGTGGGCGATGATAAGGCTGATAAGGGACCTAAGCGAGTGGCCTCCCCGCTCCCGATCGTGGGCCCCGACACTAACGCCTTTCGTCCAGACTCCAGCCCCACGCCACGGGCAACACTAACCGGAAGGGGCTTGGGAGGTGGCCGAAGCCACTACTCGGCGCCACACGTGTCCGAAGACGGTAGTGCAATCCCGAGCCCCCGCAGCCGCGCCTAACCCTCCCTCGGACGCTCGGTGGGCCTTCCCGATCAACAGGCGACTCCTCGGCACATGTATCTTTGTACCTTCGTACCTTGCCCCGACTCGTCGTGATCGCCAGCCATTTTTACAGTGCGGTATAGGTACCTCCGTACCTCCGCTGTCACCTCAGCTTCACGACATGGGCTGAGATAAAGGCGCTGCGTTTGGAGACATGGGTATGGACATGTATGGACAGACAGATATGTCTTATATAGACGTCCATCGCCCCCATCCCGAACCTCCTCTACGACTGCATTACCAGCCATGGCGAGCACCGCACCCGACGCCGACATCAAGGATATGGCCTCTCTCGACGCCAAGCAGCCCATCCACGATGGCAGCTCCAAGGCCGAGGAAGGGGATCTTGATGTGGACCAGTTGCACATCGATCCCGCCAAAGAGGTCAAACTCCTCGCGAAGCTGGATCTCGCTTTCACTCCAGTCATCATGCTGGTGTACCTATCGTGTTTCTTGGATAGATCGAACATCGTATGTTGCGATATTCTATTCTCTTTTGCCTTTGACAAATGTTCTGACGCATTGCAGGGCAACGTGAAAACGGCGGGCATGCCGACTGATATCCATGCGTCGGCGGAGCAGTTCAGCGCGGCGGTGTCCATTTTCTACGCGACCTACGTCGCCTTCGAGATACCTTGGTCTGTCCTGCTCAAGAAGCTAACTCCCAGGTATCTGCTCACTGCTCTCTGCATTGTGTGGAGCCTTGTCACCATTTTCTCTGGCTTCATCTCCAATGTGGGGGGCCTATACGCAACCCGACTCATTCTGGGCGCATGCGAAGGGGGCTTGTTCCCCTGCTTAAATCTCTACTTGACCATGGTGTACCGGAGAGAGGAGCAGGCGAAGCGTGTCTCCTATCTTTTCGTCTGCACAGCGATCTCTGGGGCCTTTGGAGGTCTACTTGCTTATGGCATTCTGCATATGGATGGGATCTCGGGAATGGCTGGCTGGCGGTGAGTCTACCTCTTGCTCTCAATTGCTGTCCACGTTGCTGAATTTTGGAAAGATGGCTTTACATCATTGAGGGTCTTTTCTCGGTCGTAGTCGCTGCCGCCGTGTTTTTTGGTCTTCCGAATGACCCATCAAACGCCTACTTCCTGAATGCGGAAGAGAAGGAGTTGATGAGAATCCGCGCTGTCCAGCGGCAGGCCTACATGGGAAGTGAAGAATTTGACTGGGCAGAAGTGAAGATTGCCTTCAGAGATCCCAAGGTGTACCTCAGGTATGTTAACCGCCACCTATTACAATAAGAAGTCCCCTTTCTATTCTTCTTTTAACCAACCGCTAACAAAATGGCCAGTGGTTGTATTCAATTTTGCCAAGACATACTTCTTTACGGCTTCAGCACCTTTCTGCCTTCGATTATCCAGGGAATGGGTTACAACACTTTGCAGTCGCAATATTTTACCATTCCGGTCTATGTGGCTGGTGGACTTTCCTTCCTGGCCTTTGCTTTCATCTCCGACAGGCTAACAATTCGAGCCCCTTTCGTCCTCTTCGCCAACATGTTCGGTATTGTGGGTTACATCCTACTTCTTACGAAGACCTCCGATGGGGTCAAGTTCTTCGCCACCTTCCTCTGCGCAATCGCTGTTTACAATGGTCCCGGCCTGAACCTGACCTGGTTGAACGTAAACGTTGCCCCTCATTACCGCCGAGCGACGGCTATTGGCTTGCAGCAGACTATCGGAAATACCGCCGGTATTGTTGCTGGACAAATATATAGGTAAGTGCGAGTAGCAAGTGGGCCGGTTCAATTCCATACTGATCTTAGTCTCTAGGAACGTGCCATATCGCCTTGGAAACGGCTTCTCACTGGGTGCTCTGTGTGTCTCGCAGGCGTTGATTGCTAGCAAATATCTCTACATCCGCCACTGCAACAAAACGAAGGAAAGGATTGTAAATGGAGAAATCCCAGATACCAGAAAGATCAAGACAGGCGACCGGGCCTTGGATTTTGTGTACCATTTGTAAGATCGTGAGGTCAATCTGGTAGTTTTGACGGGCTGTTTTCGGCGTACACTAGCTGGTATTTGGTTAAAACCAATCTCGGGCTTTTCTGGCTCTACGTCAATAAATAGGTGGACTTATTATACGGGAACAATATTTTTTGCCCTGCACTAGGAGGCTAGGAGCCTTTTCTACTGATTGGTCTAAACCTAGAGCCTCTGCTTGATTGAGATTTTGATTCTATGTGCCCTTGGCTAAACTTGGGGCGCACTGGGGTACTCTCTGCATATGAATAAGACCCCGGGTGCTAAGGTCATGTAGACAGTCCTGCATCTGGGTTCACTAGGAGCTCGACATGACCAAACCAGCTCCAAATAATCTTCCAATGGTGATTTAACAATGCTAATAGACAGTTGCAATTTAGGGTTAGGCATATAACCCAAGGATTCCAGGATTGAGCTGATATACACATCTCGAAAGTATGTAAGTCTTGAAAGAATTCAGTTCGGATTCTTCTCCTCTAAAACCTCCCATTCCCTAACATCCACGACGATCATATGGCCTGGTGCATGGCCCAAGACGACACCTGGTAACTTCGCCTTCATGACTGCCTCCTGCGGCGTGACTCCGCACCCCCAAAAGACAGGCACCATGTCTTTGTCCTCCTCGGACAGATGCTTCCCCTCCAGCGTCAAAGGCGCATCTCCCCACTCCGGTACATGTATATCTTCAATCCCCAACTCCTTCACAGCCTCCCAGCCCCATGCAATCGGCTCGCCATGCGTAGCCACATATGGCCTCGTCACATCACGCACCGTTTCGACTTCGCTCCTCTTATACATCCTCATCGAGACGACATAGGTGGCGCCGGTGAAGATGCCAGCCGGACATAACGGCAACCTCGTCCTATACATCGGCACATTCCGGCCCATCACCGCATGCCGCGGAGGCAGACCTGCTGCCGTGAGGGCGTTTTCAAAAGAGTACGAGCAGCCGATGAGGAACGCGACATGGTCCTCGCTCCACTCTTCGACGATATCTGCACATTGGAACTTCTTCAGCTCGCCATCCTCATAAACCATGTATCGCGGCGCATCGCGGCGGATGTCGATGCCTGCGGCGATGCGTGAATCCTCAATACCCGGAAGCCAGGACTTCAGCTCATCAAAGCAGCCGACGCGGGCTGATTCGGCGAGGAGAGGACAGGGCACGGGATTCCGGAGGCAGAGGAGTCGGAAGTCGCTGGCAAAGCGGGAGGGGAGCACAATGAGATTGGCTTGGAGGAAGGTGTTGGCGATGCCCGACGTCGACGTCGTGTAGGTGTTGTTGCGGGCGGCGATGCGGGCTTCAGCGCCTGTGGCCGGGAGATTTATGATGGGAACCATCTGGGATGATGTTGGGAGAGGGCATCGTGACGGCTGGTGCAGGACCGCTCCCATAAAACCCGGCGTGGTATCAAGGGCTTTCAACGGTCAACAGTAGTGGGGGAAGATGCTGGTGCTGTGCAGTACTGTACATGTACAGTAATAAGAAATAAGATTATCCGCATCTTATCTTATCGTTGATCGGGGGACGTTCCCGACTCGGCTGCGGTAGCGGATTCGGAGACGACCACCGATCCCCGATCAACACCTACAATGTCTGTCTCCGTCGTTGCAGACTGAAACTTTTGCAGCGTTGCGGGGCATCGGCTTAGGGCTTCTTCTTGAGCACACAATGGAAGCCATAAAGATGTTTAACCGGCCTGTCCCCGCAAGGGACACGCCCGTTCAAGCGCGACGGCGAAGCAGCAGCACGCATCAAGATGGCAATCGAACCTCTGAACATCCGAATAGCGATTGATCGTGGAGGAACCTTCACCGATGTGCATGGTAAGCCGTCCATTCTTCCTCCTTTGCCTCGACCGAAGACCGTGTGTGGCTTAAGCAAGATTCAGCATCGATACCAGGCCGGGAGGACATTGTCATCAAACTGCTTTCAGTTGATCCGGCGAACTATAGCGATGCCCCGACAGAAGGCATTCGCCGAATCCTCGAGATCGCGACTGGCGAGTCCCATCCTCGCGGTCAATTGCTGGATCTCTTCCACATCGAAGCCATCCGTATGGGAACCACAGTCGCCACGAATGCACTGCTCGAGAGGAAAGGCGCTCGGTCCGCGCTCCTGATCACCAAAGGCTTCAAAGATCTACTGGCAATCGGCAACCAGTCTCGCCCGAAGATCTTTGATCTCACCGTCGCAAAGCCCGAAGTCTTGTACGAGAGAGTCGTAGAGGTCGACGAGCGCGTCACCCTCGAGGAGTACGCGGAAGATCCGAACCCACAGCCTCTAGAGGTGTGTCCAAACGCCCAAGACCTTGTCAGGGGTGTGACAGGCGAATATGTTCGGATATTGAAGAGACCAGATATGGACGCGGTACATCAATCCCTCAGAGAGCTCTGGGACCAAGGGTATCGCTCCATCTCTATAGTCCTACTCCATTCCTACACGTTTCCCGAACACGAGAACCTCATTGGTAATACGGCCGTGAGCATGGGATTCTCAGTTGCTCTCTCATCTTCACTCCAGCCGATGATCAGAGCGGTGCCACGAGGCATGTCGGCCACGGCTGATGCGTACCTAACACCGGTCATAAAGCAGTACATCAGCTCTATCTCCAACAGCTTTAAGGGCGGGCTCGGTTCTCAGAGGACCCGGGTGGAGTTCATGATGTCTGATGGCGGCCTTGCCGACTTCAGGCGGTTTAGCGGGCTGAAAGCAATCTTGTCTGGTCCAGCAGGCGGCGTAGTTGGTTATGCACAGACTTCCTGGGACGAGGAGGAGCGTGTCCCCATAATTGGTTTTGATATGGGTAAGGTCCATCCTTCTTTTGCTTGGCTTGAAACCCAATTAGCGAAGGAATATGTGGAAATCTAACTGTTACTAGGTGGGACCAGCACTGACGTCTCAAGATATTGTGGTGTCTATGAGCACGTCTTCGAAACAACGACTGCCGGTGTGTCAATTCAGACGCCCCAATTGGATATAAATACTGTCGCTGCCGGAGGAGGATCTATGCTCTTCTGGAGAAACGGCTTGTTTGCTGTGGGTCCTGATTCAGCTTCTGCGCATCCAGGGCCAGCATGCTACAGGAAGGGGGGACCCCTTACCGTCACGGATGCCAATCTATTTCTGGGCCGCCTGTTGCCTCAGTACTTTCCACACATATTTGGCGCAAACGAAGATCAACCACTGGATAGTGATATAGCCGCCGAAAAGTTCTCTGAATTGACCGCTCAAATCAACAAGGAGCAACTTGATAGGGGCGGCAGCCAGTACACCCCCGAGGAAGTCGCTCTCGGCTTTCTAAAGGTTGCCGATGAGAGTATGGCCAGACCTGTCCGCCAGCTCACTGAGGCTCGGGGCCATGACACATCGGCCCATCATCTGGCATGTTTTGGAGGAGCCGGAGGACAGCATGCATGCTCTGTAGCCGACGTGTTGGGGATTTCCCGAGTCATCATTCACAAATATTCATCAATATTATCAGCGTACGGCATGGCTTTAGCTGACGTAGTTCACGAAGTCCAAAGGCCTGCGGCTCTCACTTTCTCATCTTCAACCCAGGATGAGGTGCGTCACAAGTTGGAGGAACTGGTGGCTGACTCAACAGAAGAGCTCATGAAGCAAGGCTTTAAGCCTCAGCAAATTCACCACGAGCTCTATCTCAACATGCGCTATGTCGGTTCAGATACTGCACTTATGATTCTTAAGACAGGGGACGACTGGGATTTCAAGCCTGAATTCGAAATCAGACACAAACGGGAATTCGGTTTCCTCTTCGAAGATAAGCCTATTCTTGTGGATGATATTCGCGTGCGGGCAATTGGTTCCACTCTGTTTAACAGAGAGAAGAGCCCTCATCTGCAGATGAAGCAGGCAAACTTGGTGGATGCTGAGATCACTGAGAATACGACCTCTGTCTACTTTGGTAACGGATTTGGTCGTCTAAGGACGCCAATGTATCATCTGGATGAACTGACCTCCGGTTCTCGAGTTCACGGCCCCGCAATGATAATCGACAAAACACAAACTATCGTTTTGGTTCCAGATGCGATAGCTTACATCCTGGAGACTTGCGTGGTTATTGATTTGCCAAAGAAAACTAATAATACAACTCAATCCACTACGACTTCAAGCAGCACAGTGGATCCAATTCAATTATCTATATTTGGACATCGCTTCATGAGCATTGCTGAGCAAATGGGCCTGGCATTACAGAAGACAAGCGTATCAACCAACATCAAAGAGCGACTGGATTTCTCTTGCGCGATCTTCAGTCCTGATGGAGGGCTCGTCGCAAATGCGCCGCATGTGCCTGTACACCTGGGCTCGATGCAGTTCGCCGTCCGGTATCAACACAAGCGATGGGCGGGCCGCCTGCAGGACGGCGATGTCCTTGTCTCGAATCACCCAATGTGCGGTGGGACGCATTTGCCTGATATAACTGTGATCACACCTGTGTTTGATGGAGATGCGATTGTCTTCTATGTCGCTTCTCGAGGGCACCATTCTGACATTGGTGGACTTCTCCCTGGTTCAATGCCGCCTACATCCACCGAGTTATGGCAGGAAGGTGCAGCTATCGAAGCTGAGAAGATTGTCAGTGGCGGCATATTCAATGAAGAGAGGATGACCCAATTACTTTTGCGGGATCCTGCGCAGTACGATGCGTGTTCCGGCACTCGACGATTACAAGACAACCTTTCGGATCTCAAAGCCCAGATCGCTGCCAACGTCAAGGGAATTTCTCTGATTAAGGCCTTGATTGAGGAGTATGGCCTTTCATCCGTACACAAATACATGTATGCGATCCAAAGCACCGCCGAGGTCGCAGTCCGCGAGCTTCTCAAAGCCACGTACGCTAAACTCGGAGGCACCCTCACAGCAATCGACTACATGGACGACGGCACTCCCATCTCTCTGAAGGTCTCCATCGACGGCGCCAATGGCACGGCCATCTTCGACTTCACCGGCACAGGCCCCGAAGTCTATGGAAACACCAACGCACCAGTTGCCATAACCCACTCTGCCATTATCTATTGCCTCCGCTCCCTTCTCTCCACTGACATCCCTCTTAACCAAGGTTGCCTCAACCCCATCACTATCCACATTCCTCCCAACTCTCTTCTTTCTCCCTCTCCGGGTGCGGCCGTCGTTGGCGGTAATGTCCTAACCTCCCAGCGCATAACGGACGTCGTGCTCCTAGCCTTTCGAGCTGCTGCCGCCTCCCAAGGTTGCACCAACAACCTCACATTCGGCACCGGCGGGCGTGACCCAGTCACAGGCCAACACGTCCAGGGTTTTGGCTACTATGAGACCATTGCCGGCGGCGCCGGTGCGGGGCCTACTTGGATTGGCCAGAGCGGTGTCCACACGCACATGACCAACACGCGCATTACGGACCCAGAAGTCTTCGAGAAGAGGTACCCATGTATCCTCCGTCGCTTTGCACTGCGGCCTGGATCTGGAGGGTTGGGCCTTCATCCGGGTGGCGATGGTGTTGTCCGAGATATCGAGTTTCGCATGCCGGTACAATGCTCGATTCTCTCGGAGAGGAGGAGCAGGCGTCCATATGGTCTGGAGGGTGGTGGGGAGGGCGAGGCGGGCTTGAACTTGGTGGTCAAAAAGGATGAAGCGACAGGCCGGGAGCAGACAGTGAATTTAGGGGCGAAGAATACGATCAAGCTGAGGAGTGGAGATAGGGTTGTGATCTGTACGCCTGGTGGTGGTGGATGGGGTAAGAAGGAGGACAAAAGGAACGGAGATGATGGGTTGAGTAATGCACTGGCAAAGGGAGGACTGAATGGATTTGTGGCAAAGGGTTCGGTGGGCGCATGGCAGGCTATCCAGGAGTCAAATTAATTTATATAAAAAGCAGTCGCATAGTTTAAGTAGTTGGTCAGTGCTGTAGCGAAATGCTACTGCAGTAGATACCTTGCACAACTCTCCCAGTGAACATTTGATTTAGCCAAGTGAAAATAAATACTCGTATACCGTACCAGTGGTAGGCAATGAGCCTGGAACGTCGAGATTCAACAACCATTTTCCGCTTTCTAATAACTCTAGATTTTAGTACAAAATGGTTTGTTAAGCCCTCTCCCCCCCTCCCCCCACTTTCTTTTTTTCTCTTTCTTTCTTCTAATGTTCATGACTACCTACCTGCCACCGTTGTGAACTACTACCTCAAGCTATTTCCTATCCCCCTGCCGTCGGAAACTCCTTTTACACCCCGCAGCAAAAACCGAAGCTATTCAGGGTTAATGTCTCTCGAGTTCCTCTTAATGATCAATGCCATTCTACTAGATAGCTCGCGAAGAAAGTCTGTGGCAAGAAGTATTAGATCAACCTATCTAACAGCAAAATATACCACAATCGTTTCATTTGGTGAAGTCCATCTTGCTCAAAGCTTCTGCTTGAATCTCCCAGATCGGCCGCCCTAGTTTGACATATTCATTGCCGAATTGATCAAGTACACTCTTTACATGACCACTACCAGCTACTACACCCTCGTCTGCTTCGCAATTGGCACCAAAAGTTGCTCTCTGCCAGGCGATTTTCCACTTCTCGACTGATACCCGAGCCACATCGGAATCTGGTTGTACATTTTTTGCAATAAGGTAGGAGGAGGATCTTATTGCATGTTTTTTCTTAGGCTTAAAAGCCTGTATGGAGGAGAAGCGGCTAAAATTGTATAGAAGCTCCAACGTGTGCCACGCTTCAATCTTATGTAACAGCATGATGAGCGTCCCACCCCTTCGGATGCGTTGTAGTGCGAGGATCAAGTGTGAAACTGTGAGACGGAGCGGTTCCTTGTTCTCGCGATACCCAAGTCTCTGATGCTGCCGAAGAACCCGACCATCGCAAAAGACTAGATCGAACGTGGGTCTAATATAGGGCCTTTCATGTATAAAGCTGGCATACTCCGGATGTGTTCTCGGAGGATTCTCTGTGCCAAATTCCTTGACCAACATTGTGACATCAAGGAGTATAACGCTGGATTGGGAAGACTCAAACAGTATCTCATGACCTCCTTGCGCAGGTGGTAGAGTAATCCCGAAAGCTGTTGCTCCCGGATTGTACTTCAAAGCACTCGCTGTATAACCTCGCGGGGCCATGCACAAATCCAAGATCTTGACACCCTCTTCAGGAGTTTGACGAAGTGCACCTGTACTGCGTTGCAACTCATCCCCAATCTGTTGCATCATCGTGTAAAATCTCGAAGCACCGTTACGATCCGCAGTATCTGCTCTGCTCCGTTGCTTCTGGAAGTAAGCATCGCCCGCAGGATTAGCCCATCCCTGCTCCCTTCAGTCAGTCTGATCAAATCCTGGGGAATTCACGCCAAAAACTACTTTCTCTCTTAATCCTGTCAGTCTTGCAAAAACTGGCTCGGTCTGTAACAGGAAGCGTTGGACTAATTGGTCGGGATTTGAGAGTATTTTAGAAGTCTCGTCTTTGCTTTCGCCGGTACTAGGCTCCGTGATAGTGTCAAACATGGTTACGAGCCGGAATTGGTCTCAGGTTTGTGGTTATGTAACTATAACTTGGTGTGCTGCGGCGACCATGCCAGCAATTGTAATTAACTAATGAGCGTACATGTGAACATACTTATAACTGTCACTATGCGTTGATTTCTCAATGTCAGTTGTTAGTCGCCTACACAAAGTAATGTGATTGGACGTCAAGATAAGGAAGGGTCTTGACTCTTGACGTGGCAATTATCGACACGCTTGCCATATTGTGCTACCTGTTGCTGATAATCCTATAAAACCCCTGGATGGCAAACACCAGACTGAATTGGACACCCCGCAGAATACCCACCAATTGCAAAATCTCAGGGTCAATATATCCATCTACCATCCAGGTATGACTGCATGACCTGGGCCTGGATGGACGCGAGAGCCACTTTGAGGAGGGAGGGTAAAATAAGAACAATATGCTTGGCCGTGGGAGGAAGGGAAGAGGCTGTTTAATTTGAAGCTAAGAACAGAAGGATACGGGGCAGATTGATTGCTACCTGGTGTAGTTCTCGTTAAGCTCTAGAATTATTGTCGAACTGCAACACGTCTTCTATTCTACGATACCGACATATATTTCATTAGTGATATACAACGAAAATATTACTTTGACGCAGTATAATACAATTATACAAGATGGTTTATGGTCTCTCTATTGCTTTTAGTAACTTAGTAAGATAGACAGACCAATACTACCGGCTCGATATACGAAGAGGATAGAAAAGTGTGATGTGTGATTTAGGGTATCAAAATCATTCAAAGTCACGCGGCATGGCTTTTTAGTCCAATAGCTGCAGCAGCAAATATAATTGGTCCAACGGTAGTGTCGTTTGATTTAAGATAGGGAAGTTCTCTTTAACTATCAGATATCTATTCTTCAGAATGATAAAAAGAATCGACTCCAAAGTCTCCGCCAGAAGTCTAAACCATAAATCTACACGGTCTTCGTGTCAACACCAACATCCATCTTCTCTGGGGTAGTGCTTTCCTTTATCTCAATTCCATCTACCGCGTCCACGTTCCCTGTCTCCCCCAAAATATGGATGGGAACGACGACATTCTCCTCCTGGAAGTACTTGGTCTCCTCAACGACGAAGAACGCCATATACATATATATGCAAATACCTGCTAGATAAAATGCAAAAATGATGCCAGCTTCCTTGATGTACGGAATCTTCAAACTATCAAGTCCAAATAAAACCGATTCGCCAGCAGCCAAGCAAGCACGAAACCCTCCAGTGTAATGACTGCTTTTGATGGGATCATTTGTCAGAGTACCAAGAAAGTACATTACGACATACTGCCACAGCGTCGAGGCAATCCAGTTGATCATGAACAGAACGAAAATTGCAGCAAATCCATCGTCCGTCCAGTCCATAGGCGTGGGAGGAGAATGTCGATCGTAATTGCGGACTCGGACCATCTCCCATATCCAAGCAGCAGTGAGAGGAATTGAGACATATGCGAGGCCCAGTTTGGCACGAGTTCGGCGTTTATACCCGTTGTGGTCGAAGATCTTTTGGAGGATGATGGAGAAAGGGATTTGGAGGACGACGGACATGAAAGATAGGAGGCAGCGGGTTCTGAGATTGTTGTGGAAGGCGTTAACGGATCCGAGGTAGACCAGATATGCTTCTGCTGGTAGGAAACAGGGGATCATAATGAGGAGCCGTTTGTCGCATAGGTCCATGAGGTTTGACTTTAGTTCAACCAACAGACCTCGGTATTTGACAGCAGCTACTCCTGAGCCGTCATCACGTTTGATCTTGTTTGGCGGAAGGATGAAGAGTGCAGCAATTGCAGTTAGACCCATAATGACAATAAAGGCAATGTAAACGGCGTTTGGCACACCTCCACTGCTGTCATTATTTCTGCTGATGAGCAGCGGGATGATGCCGCCGATCATCTCGCCGCCGGCTAATAGACCGAATCCGGTGGTGACATATAGGCCCTTTTCCTTCTCCTCAGGGTAGGAAAGCATGATATAGCCATTTGTTACAAAGACCAGGCCGGCCGATATACCGATACAGACTGCTGAAAAATATGGGAAGGCAGCTTTGCCAGTCTCGCTGAGATACCAAAGACCACCGACATAGATGATGTATCCACCAACACCCAACTGCACATAAATCAGATCTGAAGCTAGATAGAAATGGAGGAACCTTACACATGCAGTAATTCCGGGGCCAATTGTGTGCAATACCACTGATCCTAGTGCTGAAGAAAGCACCCAGATAGAGTTTAAACATGCATTTAGACGGGTCGAAACCTGAGCAGAGTTTGGCTGACCCCCACCAGCTCTTCAAAACATGAGTGTCGTTTTGTTAAAAAAGGTATATAGGATGGTTTCTTACCCTAGTAAGTTGAGAGCAACATAGATTCCGGCGGTGAAAGCGGTGGTGAGGCCGGATATAAAGTTCTGCCAGAAGGGGCTGCGGTAGCGGAACTGGGGCACGGTATCTACAAACTTCCCCATTTTAATCTTTTAAATCCGTTGGCGATTGTGAATATCAAATATCCAATGAAGGATGTGCAAGTGGTAAAAGACTGAGGAGGTCATCGACTTCTTGAGCGCACTCCTTAGAGAGGATTGGACTTCCACCAAAAGATATGAATGAAATTTGCCATGGGGACAAAGCTTGTCTACCAACTTAAGTAGATGCAGCTGTCTTATCGAGATGTTATAGCTATATCACGTCGATATCACGTCGGCGGTTTGACTGATAAGAAGTTGACGTCCGTGAGCCTAAAGTGGGATGAGGCTGCAGAAACGGATCTCCGCTTCCTTCATTATCGCGGGGAGCTTCCAAAATAAAGAACATAAAGAATTATTGTCTTGTCCTGAACAAAAAATAATAGAGAACAATAGATGGAATGAGTAAAATTAGGAAAATGCTATGAACGGATGCATCTGCGCAGCTGTGCTACATAGCCTATTGTGATAGCATAAGAAGGCGCTCTTCTGTAACCTGCGGTCAAAGGCCGAGTTGCAATATCAAATGTCAAGCCACTGTAGCCTTGTTTCAATAGCAACGCCTTATTCTTATCTCATCGCGACGTTGGTCTAGAGCACGAGATGGGAAAGCTACTCTGAAGTGGGGAGCCGATGGATCCTACAGGAGCAAGCAAAGCTCTGGATAATCAGCGGCCAAGTTTCTCACTGATTTGATATTCAAAGACGGTAGAGCGGACCTGAGCGCGATTGAAGTCTTGGCTGCTTCCGCGCGATTCGTCGCCGCATGATTGTAATTTGTAGTTCTGATAAGGATGATTGATCGCCTAGATTCGAAGTAGCTCGGCAAACTCTAGGTAGCGATTAGATGGCGGAGGCGGGATCTTGATACTCTCTTGTAACCACCTCTAGGTTCCTCGGTGTTCTTCGGGGGCTACAATTGCAGAGAAATGATGGGAATTTGCAAACCATTAATCCTCAAAGCCCATTCTTTGCCAAAATGAGACCTATTCAAACGGAGCCCCGAAAGCTACCACTATTATTACCCTGAACAATGGGCAAGCATTCGATATCGGATCCAACACAGTAAATAAGCTTGACTCGCTCCCACTAGTGGCTTATACAGTAACATATTTGAGGAGCCCAAGGCAGTAATGGAACAAGTTCGAGCAGCAGCGCGCGAAATAGGGTTTCTCTATGTGGCTGAACAGTCTAGAACGGAGCTGGGCGTTCAAGAGCGCCCAGCATCGATCCAAAGTTCACAAGTAACACATTTAAACAAGACAGCAGAGTTCTTTAAGCAATCCATGGAAAATAACATGGAAGCCTTTACTGGATTAATTCCGAATAAGTATGTGGGCTGTCATTCACTAGAGCACTACTCAAGGGCTTCGCAAAAGGAGAAAGGCGAAGCCAGTTGTGGCATCAAAACAAAAACGGATTAGATTGACGAAGAGAATATCTCTGCGTAGACAAGGCCTACGACGCAGAATTTGACCTAGAAACCCTAGATATGAAAGGACTATCTATCAACATCTAATAGCAAATTACTATAGTGTTTTCAAAAACCACGCTAAAGGGCCACTTACCCGATACGCTTGTACCTTATCCGAAGGTTTAAGTACCGGTTACCGGTTAGTGCCCGGCTACCCGGCTACCCGGCTACCCCGCAGCCGATCTCCACCACAAACTAGGCGGAGCTTGTAATACGGAATAGAATGCCATACCGACAAGGCCCGTAGTAGGCCATAGAGCTAGAAAAAAAAATGGTTCATGAATGTCTCTACTATGTTCACTCCAGGACGGCAGGTTTCAATATCATGGTCTGTTCCTTGCTGGCCACTTGGGTATCTACGGTGTTTATCGTGGGCCTGGCAACATCGCACCAGCGTTGCAGTCGGGAGCTCAATCCCCTCTCGCCAACCCATTGTAAGTGCACCTTCTCCTAACTTACTCTATAGAGCATGACCTGGAAACAGCTGACATGTATGTTGATACCCAAAAGATTAAGGTAATCAAAGATAGTTATTCTCAACAAGTTCTATTCTAGTTTCTATGTCAGTGTATGCACGAAGTTTAACTAGCAAAGTTACCAATACAACTCCATCGGGAATTGGTCCAACGCCTCCAACCCTTTCCCACTCTCATGTCCCTCTGGCAATACTCGGACGATCCTTTCTGTTCTCAAGCCTCCCACTCCAGGAACGGTAATTGTTGCCTTCAACGTAAACACCATTCCCTCTCTTAACACTGTCTGGTTTCCGGGACCAATCCACGGCTGCTCCTCCTCTGGGTCCATCCCTGTTCCATGTCCCGTCCCATGTCCTCGAGCCTCGGAGCTGAATTCCTCATAGCCCGACTTGACAATACTTCGTTGAATGACAGCATTCAGCTCGGCACAAGTCATTCCTGCCTTTCCTTCCGCCAGCCCAGCTTCAACTGCTGTCGCAGCGGCCTTCACTATTGCGATCTTGTCTTTTGACGCGGGACCGTAAGTAAATCCACGCCCCCCATCTGCCACATATCCACGATATCTCGCCCCAATATCTGTCATGACCAGGTCACCAGGTTGCAAGACACGATCCGTTGGCCGAGCGAGGTTGAAGGCCGATCGGGGTCCTGCTTGGACCATGCTGTCGTAGGCGGTTCTCTCAGCTCCACCGGCGAGCATGGCTTGGTCGGCAATGAGTGCGAGTTCGCGCTCAGTGTGGGGTTTCCCATCAGCGAGAGTATCCCGTATCGCAGCCATCGCGGCGTCGGCCAGCAAGGAAGCCTTGCGAATAAGAGCAATTTCGCGCTCTGATTTCACGGCTTTGATTTCTGCCAGAACTGAAGTCTCGACAAGCTCAACGCTCCCCAGTGCAGCTCTCACTCTGTCTAGCAGATCGGCGGGTATGTATGCCGCACCCGCAAGGCCCAGCTTGCCACTGTTCCCGGCTGAGAAAGCCTGGAGATGGGAGGCGAGGTCCATCAAAGTATACACGGGGAACGTGCTTATAGTTTGGGCGTACAAGAGACATTGTTGGGAGACAAAGAGAGCAGGTGAGCCGGTCGAAGGGAGAAAGAAGAGGGAGTTGGCAATGTCGGAAACACCATCCAGAGGTCGAAAATGGGTAAAGTAGCAGATATTGGCGCCTCGCCAACAATCTCCGAAAGCAAGCAGGCCGCTCAGATTTGCCGGTTCGAGTGCGGCACGGACTCTTTCTATTCGTTCTTGGAACTCGGACGGCGGGATGTTTTCGGGCGAAAAGCCGTTCATCTTATCGTACTCTGAGAATTGGGAGTCCACATCTGTCGATATGCCCGCTCGTTTTGCGCCGTTCAAATGGATCCCGTTTGCGTGTGCTCCGTTTGTGGTTATGGTGGTAGCCATTGCCGATGCTCTTTGAAAGATCTCTATTGAAAACTGAGTTGAATAACACCGGGTAAAAGTCAAAAGGAAGGCAGTCGTGGGCGAACTTGTAATTTAAAGTCAGCTCAATGATAAAGAAAAGACGGCGACGATGCACAATATGACTGCAAAAGATATGCTTTTGCTAGAGCTCTAAGTTCAGATAAGAAAGTCAATGGAGGGGTTTTGACGGCTACCTTTTCCATATCTGATCCCCGCGCCGACAATTTCCTATTCCAGAACCCCGGACTTTTTTTCCCGCATTCACACCCCGCGTTGCAAATTGTAACCCCGCAATTCCCGCATTGTCCCCATCGAGACTCCTTCGGGATTAAAGCGGCCTCTGTCGTGCTTCATGATTGCAGTTATCCATGTCCTGCAGCCACAGCTACTGCCATGCCAGTCCGTCTGTCATTTTTCTCTTCTTCTGGTCAGCCCCGTGGACCAGTTTCTGGCACCTGACTCCATGTCTGGAACGATCGTTCCGTATTGACTGACACCTGAGCTGGATTTTTGTTGTCCAAGCACATGTGATTCAGTTGAACAATACCTATTTCCCATACCATGATGTCATCTTTCCACAGGGGCTATCGAATTCACGATGCTTTCTATTTTCACTATAGGCACAGAGGACTGAGTCTCCTATCATTTCTCCTATTTTGACTCTGATAAAATCAAAAGTCTTAAAAGATGTGGCTACATCTTGAGCTTCCATAGAGTCTTCATTTATGAACAATAATGAAGCAGCCTAACAGTCCCCAATTGACTGTGTTTATAGCGCTAGAAACTCCATTCCATTACTCCAATCCACATCCGCATCTGAGACTCGCTCCCCTGAGTCAAGTTATAGATGTATCTTCTATCATTACTCCCAAGCCCATTCTCCCATGAGGCCTTGAGTCAAAAACGACGTCGGCCATGCATTTTCAACCTCCGCTCTCCTCAATAACTGCAGAAGCATCTCCTGCTGTTCTCTATCTCTCTCAATAAACCAAGGCCCACAAGCAATGATAGCTACACAAGCTGTCAATCGGGCGGCAACCAGAGAGCTCGAGAAGGCAATGCCACATACTGCCTCCGCATTTTGTAAAACCTCCTCCGCAATGGCTCGTCTTTGGCGTTGATAACCGAGCCCAATCTTGGGAATGCTAGGGTTGTATACGGCGAGGAATAGCTTCGCAATGTAGTAATACTGCATACCAGTCACTATTCATTTATATCAGTCCTGCTACTTGATGGCGAAGAAGAGATCAAGCCCTACCGTGCCAGGGATGTCCCAAACGGATCTCTGGGAATAGCCTTCCACACTTCTCGTCCCGCGGATGGTAAAGAATCGGATCAAAGCTCTTCGGGCGACATAGATTCCATCTCTCCGTCTTCATTCTCGGTGCTTCCCAATTACTACCATTCTTGTCGCCAAAACAGAATGCTACAATTTCCGCTACTATCCAAATCATTCTGTTCGCCCAAGTGCAATCGCTTGTAGGCTCGAATCCTAAGTTGAATGAGAGGCGATCTTCCCAGCCCTTCAAATCAACCTTGAGTGGCCTTTGCGACAGTAGAGACATGTAGATATCCTGACGAACAAAGACCCAGAATGCAGCATGACCTAGACCTCCCCACGTGCCAAATTCCAGCTGGGCATTTGCAAAAACAGAAGTCCCAGTTAGGTGCGGTTCTGGTCCTCCTCCCATATTTGATTCTACTTTAATGTCAATTAGATCCCCTTCGTTTGTTTTGATAGCTCATTCCTACCATCGGTCTCTTCAAAGGCCCTCAAGATGACGGCAGCGGCAAAGAGGGTCTCGTCTGCAACAAGCTCCTTCTGATCGAGCATGGGAATCATGAGTCGAACACATTTTTGGTGATAGTAATCAGCGATTGCTGGGTCGTAGTCAGATGTTCTGCTGAGATGACGTGCAGAGAAGGCGAGGAGAGCGTTGAGGAGCACAGGGCAGCTCATTGCCCGTTCAGGAACGTCCACCCCAAAATGCCTCTGGATATCAGTGATATCAAGCTGCGGGATCGCAAGAAGGTCAGGTCAAGGCGAATATTAATGTGAGACTTACTCACCAGGGGTGCTAGATGTTCCATGTAGTGTTGAAATAGGAGCGCTTCGTGGGGAACTTTGAAGGGCAGCTGCATCCTCTCTCCATATAGCTTAAGCGGTACATTGCTGAGGATAGGATCAAAAGTATCGTTGGCTTGATCATCCGCTTGTAGAAGGTCTCTGATATGGATGGGCACAGTCTGTGGATTGGAATTTGAAGTTGAGATAGGTGAGGTAATGAAGGGAAGGTAGCTGGAATCTGAGTGTGAAGATTGAGGAGGAGTGAGGCTGAGTCTCACGTGTGAAGCGCCATTCTGAAAGTCTTGCGGGTCCTGACTGGCATTAGATGGATGGCGAAAATGAAGAAGGCCTTGTGCAGCAGTTGATGTAGGGGATGGGGTCTGTTCCGGTAGGGCACTGGATGTATTGCTGCCGTTAGTGTTGTCGTTCTGCATCTGAGGACGTCCATATTCGGCCATCATCTCTGATGTCTCGTTGATGAACGACACTAATGCTGTCAGTTACTGGATACATGGGACTACGGACAAGCATCGGAGAATTCAACGTACGTGTACCAGGTGTTTCGACCCATTGATGTTCCTTGGGAAACACATCGACATGTTCAGCGCTCCCTAGGGACTCCCCACTGACTTCAAGGGAGCCGGATCTCAGCTGAGCACGTGCAGCCACTCTTTGCCCACTTCGAAAAGTGACCAGATCATCGGGGACACATTCTCGAGAGGTCCGCCGGCATCTTCCACAGCGGGGCTTCTCTTCGTCGCACTTCAAATGACGTTGACGGCATGTCAAACTGATTGATGTGACAGTCAATATAAGATCAACATTATAGGTGCTATCCCGGGTGAACGGTGCATGCCCGACGAGCAGAAGAATAGCAGCGAAACCTGAGAACTTGCTTACCATCCTGTTCGGCCTCGTTTGGAGGGAGCTCGATGGACCGTGGATGCTCGCATTGCGGTTGCAGGTAGTGTAGGGAAGAGATCAGAAGGAAAAGAGGTGCAGCGAGTCGGTTTTCCATATTTGTTTTTCTCTCAGCGAGACGGTGGTCGAGGGAGTCGAGGACGTCGCCCGACATTTCCCTTCTAAGCGAGAACCGTGCGGGGTGCGGGGTGCGGGGTATTGGGGAGAGCTTTTATGCGCACACCCCCAGATGATATACGCACAGCTGGCGGCCAAGGGAATCACTCAGCCAGTACTTGGTTCCGTTGGTAATCCCTCCTACGATTAGAAGTCCTTCGTCCATTACCTAAGAGATTATTAACTGATTTAAAGTTAAATTGTGGGGGAGATACCGAGGGTTCTATTTTGGGGTACTACAGGGAGATAGGGCTCACCTATCACCAAAATGGGTGCGGATGGATCACCACCACGGCAGGTCAATCATGGAGTGGAGAAAGTCGTACTTTTCCTGAGTCAAGTCGTTATATCTGCCGGGAAGAGGAATATCTAACCGCGGTCCCTGATCTATTCGAGCCTAGTCCATATCCTGTGCTCCATGTGACTCGAGAATCAAGGTGCTTCAGCTCCAGGGTGATCAGCCAGATGGCGGAAAAGCCCCGGATTGCAGGAAAGCCACAAATATGACGAAGTCTGTAAAACTCGGACTAACTTTTGCTTCCATTCAGCTGTGCAATGGCTACTAATCCACTTTCTTATAGAAATATGAGGATCGTACATCAGAGGCAATTTGGACAAATATCCCGTAAGATGACTTAGATGAGTAGTGACTGAATTAGAAGATCCGGCTCTCAATCTCAATTATCCACCCAAAGCAGCAACATGTCCCGCCCGCTCCCTGGAGATTTTTAACTTGAATTAACTAAGCTGTCTTCCCTTCGACGTGCTCAAAAGAATCCGCCTTCTCGCTTCCCGAGCTGGGCGAAGACACGGTTATCTCGCCCGGAAGGTGGGTATTCCTCTCGATATCTTTGCGTCGATCAGCAAGAAGACCATTCTTGCCAATGACCCCACCAGTAATTCCTCCTCCCTCGAATATGTGGTCAATATCTTCGAGACGCATGTTGGCGGTTTCTGGGAAGAAGAGGTAGGTGACGGGAACAATTATGGCAATGTTGAGAACCGCAAATACGATGTAACTATGTAGGTGAGCTTTTTAGCAGCAGAATATGTAGAATTGAGGAAAACTCACGTTTTATACCCGATATTTGCGACGGCAATTGGCGTAATTTGCACGACCATGAACTCCGTAATCCAAGCACCGATAGAGGCGATGGCAGCACCTCTTGCTCGTAGACGTAAGGTCGTGATCTCAGCCGGGTAAATAAAAGGAACCTAGGTGTGCGTCAGTAAGTGTGATGCCATGTATTGCAATATAATGCTCACCGTAAGCCAGCCCCAGGCATAGAATGTGTTATACAGGAAGATCATTACAACCGCTACCCATCCAGCCCCTCGGCTGCCATCATGGACAGTAATAGCCAGAACGGCCATGGTTATAATCTCACCAGCACTGGATAAAAATAGTAAGGTTCGCCGATTGAATTTATCTGTCAGCCAGATTTGAACAAGTGATGCCAAGTAGTATTCGGTGGTAATTATGCCGCTCATTAGTAGGGACATGTGTCTGGACAAGCCTGCCGATGACTCCAAGACAGTGGGGAGATAGTAAGTGATGACACAGATCCTTGGTGGGTGTCAGCAAAACAGACGCGAATGAGGGGCAATAACTTACCCTCCAAGTTGTTGGAAAGAATCCACGCAGAAGCAAAGAATCATTCGTCTGAAATTCTGTAATTTCCCCCCCGCAAAGAGTTCCCTCGGATGGAATGGTCCACCAGCATGTTCTAATTCGATCGCGTCGTTGATCTCCTTTGCCAGCTCCAAAACCCGGGGATCATCAACAGAAACATCTTTACCAATCAGACGAGCAATCACGTTGTTTGCTTCCTCGTGTCTACCCTTCTCGTGTAGCCATCGAGGAGATTCAGGAAGAATGAGGATCAATGATATTAAAATCGCCATGAAAACCATCTGGAAGCCGACTGGGAAGCGCCACTGCGCCGGCCCAGAGACTTGAGCAAAGCCGTAATCCATCCTGGAAGATATTATTAACTCACAACTCTGGAATTGGTTTGCTTAACCTACCAGTATGCAATGAAAATCCCGAAAACGACAAGAGATGTGTCGATGGCGAGGAGCTTCCCACGATCTTTGGCAGTGCTGGTCTCCGCCTGCCACACCGGAATAGTGGAAGTATTTCCTCCGTTTCCCTATAGCTGTCAGTATTATTTTCTTTGGAAATCTTGAAGCGGAAACTCACAAATCCAGTAATTACCCTGGCAGCATACATCATTCCTCGATTGACAGAAGCTGTTTGTAAAATTGCGCCGATCAACATAACGATGCTAGATAAAAGGATGCTCTTCTTTCTGCCGAGCGCGTCACCAAAAAGAAAGATGACAATAGAACCTCCTACATTTCCCAATTGATAGACCGAGACAATCAGTCCTTGGGTAGTAGGATTGGGATGATTGAAGTCGGCCCCGAACTGATTGTTGGCTCCAATAAGTCCAGATAGGACTCCCTGGTCATACCCAAAGAGCATGAAGCCGACGGAGCAGGTGAGGGTGATGAGGCCGACCAACAACTTTCCTCTGAAGTCGAACATGGTGGTTGTTTGCAAGGCAGTGGGGCAGTTGAGAGATTGATTTGGATATTGTAAACAAGGAAAGATAAGGTGAAAATCTGGGGAAATGTATGGGGTAGATAAAGACTCAAAAAGCGATTCATTATTGAAGAGAAGGTCTGCAAGGTACGCCTCTTACTACGGACCCCTGGTGCCCGGTATCACAATCCTGGATTCGACCCTGCAGTGTGTTAGCCAGTCAGTCCCCATGAACCAGCGGTACTCACTGGAGAATACCCTGATAATCCATGTGTTATTGTAGTCATTCATGAGTAATTAGTAGCGGCGGGGGGTTATGTTGATAGAGGGCAATGCGTGACGCCCTTCTCCGTTGGGGGAGTCCGGGGAACAAGGAATCAAGAACTATTCTCGGTCCGCCTCCACAGACCCGGGATGGCGTCCCAATCAGGCAATTTTGGACGACTGTGAGAAAGACGGCAAGCCTCGACTATCAAACGGAATCTAGACGCTTTTTGAACATTCTTTTCTTTCCCCACTCTCCATATCGTCGCAAATGTGGCGCTGGTCAGACAGAATGATCCTTTGGGCCCACCCTTCTCCGATGACGAGAAATGCGGAGGGACGCGAGACAACTTCTGGCTTCCGGGTCACGGGAAAGGAAGTTCTCTCCACGCTTTACTTCTCGAGTTCTAACTCTGGTAATAATTGCGGGGGCTATAATGCAGGTCCCTAGAGATGTACATCCCCAAATTGTCGACCTCACTCACAATCTTCTTCATTTCACTTGCACATCGACCACCCAGATTGAAAATTGAACTGGCTTCTTGAATCACCGTGAGGATGGCTATCCTCTCGCCGCAGCATCCTCTTTTACACCTCCTTGAATCGCTGTCCCAAGCGCCGTATGAGTTTCGGATCAGAGACTGGATTGTCCTACTCTTCGCAGCTTCGGCCGCGGTCGCATACCTTGGGGATGGCATCATTTGGGGTAAATCAGATCCCAATGCCTATCTCATGTACACCTCTCCACAAGCTTCAAGTGATTTCAAGGTCAAGCCGAAGAAGACAAGGAACATTGTGCAGAAATTGGAAGAAACGGTACGAGCCTCCCTCTCAATCCCACTACATAATTTCTGAGAACCAATGCAGAATAACGACATTGTGATTTTCTGGGGTTCCCAGTCTGGAGTAACAGAGAGGTTTGCCGAGAGACTTTCTCGAGAATGGCACTCTCGCTTTGGGCTCAAGACACTGGTGGCCGAGATGGATGAATATGACCCTGAGCACCTCACAGCCTTGCCGAAGCATAAATTCGCCGTCTTCATGACCTCCACATATGGGGAAGGGGACCCACCAGATAATGTGGTCGACTTTTTGACTGGTCTCGAAAAGATGAAGAAGGATGATATCAAGTTGGACGGTCTACGCTACCTTGCGATGGGATTGGGTAACAAGAATTACAAGTACTACAATCAGACAATCAAGGTAGATTTTTGGAAATCACAATGCCTCTCCTCAGACTAACACAAGCCGCAGTCAATGGATGAAACGCTATCTGCCCTGGGTGCTTGCCGAATCGGTCCCGTTGGATTGGCAGATGAAAGTCAGGGAACAACAGAAGAGAGCTTTATGGATTGGAAAGAAGCCATCCTTGAAGACCTTGGAGCAGTTATCACCTTGACCGAACGCCCGATTACATATGAGCCGGCGATCGAAATCACGGAAGTCAACGTCGACAAGAAGGATATCTATCTCGGCGAACTGAATGATAAACAGCTCTATGGGGAAACTGGACGAGTCGCGTACAACGAAAAGAACCCTTACGCTGCACCCATTGCCGCGAGTAGGATTATTTCGTCAGTACCGAACCGCAACTGCGTTCATATGGAATTCAACCTCTCTGCTGTTCCTGCATTGCGTTATCAAACCGGCGACCATCTTGCTGTATGGCCTGTCAATCCAGAAAATGAGGTTGAACGCTTATTTCACATGCTTGGTCTGGACGAGGTTGAACGAACTAGACCAGTCAATATAGAATCCAAAGATACGGCCACTTCGAAGCTTAATCTGCCTTCCCCAACAACCAGAGAAGCACTCCTCAAGCACTATCTCGAGATCTGCGCCCTCGCCTCTAGGGACCTCCTGGTCATGCTCGCCCAGTATGCTCCTACACCATCTGCAAAAGAGAAGCTTCTCCGCTTTGGCCAGGACAAGGAGGCTTTCCGGATGGAGATTGCAGGACGCTACCTTTCTGTAGGCAAAGTTATGGAAATGGTTGAACCAGAGGCCAAATGGAAAAATGTGCCCTTCTCATTGTTAGTAGAAAGCTTCGGACGTCTCCAACCTCGCAGATACTCCATCTCCAGTTCTCCTCTTGTTCAGCCTCGACAGCCCACCATTACCATGATCGCGAACAATCGCCAAATCAAGTTACAGGAGGACGCCAAGGAGGAAACCACCCAATTCATGGGGCTGGCAAGTAACTTTCTCCTGGCGCACGATTGTGCCTACAATGCTGCAGAGAAGTCGTCGGGCAGTCAGCAGCTGGGTTCATTGGCAAGATACGATCTCAACGGCCCAAGGAATAAGCTCACCGGTGGAAAGATTTTCATTCACATCAAGCGCTCCACCTTTAAGCTGCCAACTAACCCACTGATCCCTATCGTCATGATCGGTGCTGGTACTGGAATTGCTCCATTCCGGGGTTTTGTTCAGGAGCGCGCCCGTCTCGCTGAGCTTGGCAAGCCAATTGGGAAGATGTTGCTGTTCTTCGGTTGCCGTTCTGAGGGGAGTGACTTTCTTTATCGGGAGGAGTGGGATCATTGGAAAAAGAAGCTGGGAGACAAGTTCGAACTGATAACAGCATTCTCTAGGGAGCCATCAAAGGCAAAGGTCTATGTACAACACAGAGTACGAGAGGAAGCAGAGAAGGTTGAACAACTTGTGGATGACCGCGCAGCGGTCTATATTTGCGGCGCGGCTGCGATGGCAAGGGAGGTAAGGCAAGGGTTGGTGGATGTCTTGGCTGAGAGGAAAGGAATGGACCCAGAAGAGGTGGATCTCAAGTTTATAACGAAGATGAAGAAGGCCGGCTTGTATCAAGAGGATGTTTGGGGTTAGGAAACATGAGTTACTTTAGCATGCTGGTTGTACTTTGATGACTGCGGAGACTTGGCTGAATGGAAAGTCAGGGAAGGAGCTCGGATCCTTAGCAAATTATATATATCATATTCCAGATACTTGCTGGCCAATGATAATCAAGAAATGGATCTATTTCGTTTCTATATTATCTATATAATGGGTCATTCTCGTTGAACTTATATAAAAGTAGCCCGAAACAGTCTCCTTTTACAACTTGCTTACTCTGCCCGCTCCCTCTTCATCAATAACAATCACTCCTTTTCCTCTGTACTGACCTTTGCTCAGCATATCGACTACCTTTGGGATTTCATGAATTCCATGGAATATATTCGACTGGACTTTGATATCGTGCTTTACGACAAGCTGGAGCATTTCCTCTGCTTCTTTCGGCGAGCAGATAAAAGAACCTCGCACCCGTATATCACGGAATATATATTCGCTGAACGGGATGGAAACCTCTGGGGGCTGGACATGATGCACGGTTAGAAACTAGATCACTTCTTGCCGCTCTTGATTGAACTCACCAAAGCAACTTGGATCACTGTGCCATGCATTCTGGTGATTGCACAAGCGGTGGACGCTGCTGACTTGGCGTCGCTCACGTTGATTGTGGCTGCAACACCTTTGCCGCCGGTGATTCGGAGAGCTTCTCGAGCTACCTCGTCCTTGCCCTTGCGCGCATCCAGGACAAAATCCGCACCAGCTTCCTTCGATAACTCAATGCCGTCGTCTCTCGCGTCGATACCTAAAACCTTCAATCCTTTTGCCTTTGCAAACTGGATCCCCAAGTGTCCTAATCCGCCTCCAGAACCAACAATGCCTATCCATTGTCCAGGATTCAGGTCAGCGAGCAGAACTCCCCGCCATACTGTTACCCCAGCACAGGCCAGGGGCGCAGCAGTGAGGAAGGACATCCCCTCCGGGATACGACATGCTTCTCTCGCATCTGTCACCAGATATTCCTGGAATGCTCCGTTTCTCTCTACGCTCATGGCACTCCCCTTATTTGGACAGTAATGGCGGTAGCTCTCCTCGCCATTACAGTTATCACAGTCTCCACAGCGCCCGTATGTCTGGCCGGCCATGATCCTATCACCGATTTGGAATTTCGTCACAGCGCTGCCCTTGGCAATGACAACTCCAGTTCCTTCATGTGAAGCGGTTACTGGAAGTTTGTTGTAGAGGTTACCCGAAAGATATTCGAGATCGGAATGGCATAACGAGGCAACGGCGACTTTCAGAAGAAGATCGTGGGGTCCGAGGTCTTGAGGTTTGGGAGTGGGAATACGTCGGATTTGATGAGGTTCATTGTACTTGACTATCTGGCATGCCAGCATAGTCTCGGGGATCCTATCTGCCATGGTGTAGGAATGTGTTGAAGAGCTGTTGGGAGATTCCGGGGATATCTAATGGAACCGGTCTGTGAACACGAACTTTGAGAACTTTCCTGGAGAAAGAAATTTTCTTGTAAGCATAGGACAAAGAAACTTCCCTGTTGCAAAATAAAATCCAAGTCGTGAGCTAGGATGCGTTCCAAGTTCCATGTGACATCCCCACGTTCTGCGGGGGACGTTCAACATCGTCAGGAATTTCCGCATTTAGTCTCAGTTATCGGATGAAATCCAGTGACCAGATATGAAGCCAAAGGCGTGGGATTTTCGAAGTTCGCGGCGACTTGAGTTGGTTGTTTGGAACCTGAGACCAAAAAATGGAGAAAATAGTCGACAATTTCCTTGTTAGGACAGAGACCCCAAGAAACATCCCCGATCAAAAGAAGCAGTTCGCGTCGATGCTTCACCAGACTCCCCCGCGCTGATCGAGATGTTAGAGCGCCATGCTTCGACAACAATTCCCCAGAATAACGAGGGGAAATCCTGGAGTCTGGGGAACATCGTGGGGTTCGTAAAGAAGTTCGTCAAGAATTTCCCGATCAGTCTCGATCCTTCACGATCTGCTTTACGGAATCCTTCAAGAACTTTGACATGTTGGATCGCTCCAATTATCAACATGTGATCTTCACCTCCGGGCTCACTCTGACCCCTTTGGTCGATCCGATATCCGTTTCACGTCTCCAGCTTGTTCGGTGCCATATATATGCGGGATGCTTCGACCCTCATGAGACGGTGAAATCGTGGAGACTTTTCTTTTCAAGAATAATCAGAACTTCATCTTGATACCCATTTCGATTTTCAAGCAACAAAGATGGGATTCTTGTTGGGGCCGTGGGAGGTTGCAGTTGTCCTCCTCTTCGGGGCCACAGTTGTGTATCCTATCGCCTTCTACTTCTGGGATCCAAAGAAATTCCGTCGATTCCCAGCACCTGGCATTGCGGGATTCAGCAACCTATGGATGATGTACCAGCAGTACAACCACCGGAGGCCCATTGCTACCCACGAGGCGCATCAAAAGTTGGGCAAGATTGTGCGTGTAGGACCCAACCATATCTCCTTCGTTGGACGACAAGAAACTCGAGATATCTATGGCCACGGTACTCCGGCCCAGAAAGACCAGTTCTATATCTCCTTCACCGGAACCCATGAGAGCAGTCTTGATTCCACGAATCGACAAGCACATGGCGAGAAACGCAAGCGTCTGGCGGCTGCATTCGCACAAAAGAGCATTGCAGACATGGAACACCTCGTGGTAGACGACGTCCAACGACTGCTTAACCGCTTCGACAAAGCCGCGGCCGAGGGCGAGCTCATCAACGTTCGCTGGTACATCAACCTCCTGTTGTTCGACTTGACTGGTAGCCTCGTCTTCAGTACAAACCTCGGGTGCGTGGAACGTGGTGATGATATGATGCAAGCCCAGAAGCTTGACGGCACGAAGTTCATGAGCAAGCCCGCCCAAGCACTGCGCAACTCGCTCCGGATTGGATCGACCATGGGCTGGTCTCCAAAGCTTTTCAAACTCAACAAACGTCTGACCTGGTGGCATCCAGGCTGGACCGGCGGCGCCAACTTCACCTCTATCGTGTTGAACCTCGTACGAACTCGTCTGGAGAAGGAGAAGGAAGGCGTTGAGCTTAATGACTTCTTCAAATCCCTGGTCTGGACCAAGGATCGTGAGCCTATCGGTCTCGAGCTGGGCGAAATGGTGGCTGAATGCGGTCTCCTCCTCAACGCGGGCTCGGATACCACAACCATTGTCCTGGTCGGCTGTATCTATCTCCTTACCAAGTGGCCACGCGCAGCTGCCAAGTTGCGCCAGGAACTGGACGAGGTCTTTGACGATTCTGTGACCATTCCTCCTTATGATAGCGTGAAGAACCTTCCTTACCTACGTGCTTGTGTTGACGAGGCTATGCGAATGCATCCCCCGCTCAGAGGTGGCTTGCCTCGAGTAACACCACCAGAGGGGATGATGATTGGAAACGAGTGGATTCCAGGTGGCACCACGGTTTCAGTGCCTACTTACACGCTACACCACGATCCGGATTTGTATGAGGATCCATGGACATACAAACCGGAGAGATGGCTGGCGGACAACGCGGCCGATCTGCAATCTGTCTTTTTGCCATTCTCGGCCGGTGCAAGAGCTTGCGGTATGAATGTCCAATTCTGCATGTTGAAGTAATTACTGACTGGTCTTTTAGTTGGTCGAAATGTTTCCTACTTGGAATTGTTAGTAATTGTATCTACACTTATGCACCGTTATGAATTTGAGTTTGAGAACCCTGATTTTGAGCTTGAGACAAAAGATACTGTCAACGCTCATCCTGGGCCTATGATGATGAAGATTACGAACAGACAATTGTCTACTAGATAAGACGGAGGAGATAAGAGGGGGAAAAGCAGCCGAAGGACAGAATCCTTCTCTATTCTATGTATTAGCTGTGTCTAGCTACCTCTGACGAACGAATGAAACTGTTAATAGCAACGTTTTTGCTATCCTCTTTTCTCCTTCCTTAAGTACTAGAGGGAGAGAATAACATACCTCCCGTAAACTTCCACGGTAGAAATCCGCACTGCCTTGTTCCCAAGCATTACGTTTCTCCACGTCAAAACATCCACCAGAAGGATGGCGAAAGCTATGTCGGGAATGGCATCAGGCCACTCGAAGGCATGCGCCTGAAAAGATTTTCCGTAGTTTATTGTGATTTGAAGCTGCCTTCAAAAGCCAGGTTCCTGAATCACGCCCCGGCGATCGTTACTGCAAATCTCTCCCAGATCAAAGCTATCTCCAGCGGGCATACATCTGGGTGCAGTTCTTGAGAGGCCATGTTCTTCAAGGTAATCGAGGCGACGTTCATCGTAATCATCCTGAATCTGTAATTGGATTGCTTCTATCGGTGCAGGGGAGTGGGAAAAGATGGTAGAAACAGCAGCTGATACTTTCCTATTCCTATGATTGTAATTACCGCGAAATAGCTGTTGTTCCAGAAATTGGTAACCACAATATGAATGAGTGAAAGACGTATGTAATACATTACTTCTTCGTATATACTTATCTTCTCAGTAACTTCTTTAGAGCATTCCTCTTCGGTTTTAATCCTACGTAGCCCTCTTCTTGAACATTGTGTTTTTCGACAATCGATAAGAAAACCTGGTCAAGAGTTGTCTGACTGACGGAGTAATACTCTACGCCCAGCACGTCTCGATTGTCCTCGAGTACCGTGATCAGAGAGCCAACGCCAGACCCATAATGCATGTCGTCAGCATCAGATACCCCGTCTACATCTGCGATCTCTATCTGCATCTCCTCTTTCGTCGTGTGCTCCTGAGCAGGTACCGAGAAGCGAATCTGGCCGTGATATGTTTTATTTTCAATATTCGCACCTGGAAATTGAGCAAGAATCCATGATTCGAGCGCTTCTATTTCATCGTCCGACGTGTGGGGAGCGCTCTTCATGACAAGGTGTACATAGTAACAGGCGCCATGTTTTCGTCGCAAGTAATCGCTGGTGCCAATTGCCAGCATCTTCCTCGCCATGATTCCAGCACGATTGGCTAAAGCATCAGCTTCTTCCATGCTGTGAGTAGTAAGCAGGAGGGATCGCCCGGGAACGATAGCAGCTAGAGTCTTCCACATGACTCTTTTTGCTGCTGCGTCCATGCCAGAGCTTGGTTCGTCCAGTAACAAGACCGTGGGGTTGCCGATTAACGCAATTCCTAGCGACAGTTTCCTTTTGTTTCCTCCAGAAAGCTTTGCAGCCATTCGAGATGCGAAGGCTTGCAGTCCAACAGCTTTAATGACGGCTTCGACGTTATGTTCAATGTCGGCGACGCCCCTCACACGGGCATAGAATCGCAGATGTTCTAGCACTGTCATCTGATCCATAGCTATAACATGTTAGAAAGGCTCATGTATTTCGGAGGACTCTACTTACCATCGTATTGAGGACAGACACCAAGATGGGATCTGGCACTAGCGCGGTGTCTATTGATTTCGATGTTTTCGACGAAGACATTCCCCCCATTCCTCGAAGGCTGAATGTCGCCACGAATCAAGGATATGGTAGTCGATTTACCGGCCCCGTTAGGACCGAGCAAAGCAAAGACTTCACCCCGTTTGATTCCGAAAGTTAAATTCTCCACGGCTGTGAAACGGCCAAAGGATTTAGTCAGGTGAAGGACGCGAAGGCCATCGTTTTCGGTGTTGACTCTTATCAACTCTTCAGCGAGTTCCTCGTCCGTGGGGATATCAGCCTCGGCCGTTGTACTGGCCTCTTTTCTGAACCTTTGGTACCACGCCACAACGGATCCACTGTCATACCACATGAGGATCGCAAAAAGCACAAATACCTGTACAATTAAGTACAGAATAGGGCCGCCATACCATAGAAGACCTCCGGGGTTTGTGGACAACTCCTTTCCAGAGCAGGTTGTGGAGAATATATTGAGAGCGACAAAGAGGGCCTTGATCAAGCTTCCCATGGGCGTAATAAGAGAAATGGTGAAGTGGACAATGTGGAGGTATGAGTCGATCTTGTTAACGGGTGCATACGTCAAAGTGCATAGATACCCAATAAGATATATCAGGAAGAGGATGGCTTGGCCTGCTGCACTGAATGCATAGGCTGAAAGCTGGGTGCGAGCAAACAGCGAAACTATATATGAAAGCAAGATAGAAGCCAGGCCGAAGAGTGCAAATATCAGGAAGAGATAGCCAACATGGTACCACGCAGAGGACGCACCTGCGAAGATTGCGACGCTCAGAGCACTGGATACCAGGACGAAGATAAAATCAAACGCGAGGTATGCCAACCACAGGGGTAGTGGACGAACTCCATTTGAATATTCAAGCCCTCGAATATTCCGCATCCGCTCAATCGTAGGATAAAGGGAGAAGAATCCAGGTGCTGCTGCCATTGCCAATCCATAATAGACGACCAGCTGCAGCGCCTTGCCCGTCGATGGTGCCCATGGGATATCGAAGGACGAATACTGAGTTCCAATGCTGATGTTGGTAAGCATAACATCCAGAATGTTTTGTCCAAACACCCCGTTGTAGATGTCACCATTGCCCTTGTATGCCATGGTTGTTTGCGCGGCACCATTTCCGAGGAAGAAGCCTGCAGGGGTAACGTTTGCAAAGTTCCGGTCAATGTAGTCGTTGAATTGGGACAAGGTATTAACCATATTCAGCTTCTTGTGGATTTGTTCTGGCGTGAGATCAACGCCGTATATTAATGGACCAAACAAGGAAGTTAGGGTCTCATTAGAAAATCGTCCGGATGGCCCGACAATCAAATCATAATGGATTTGATTGACGAGGTTTTCGACATCAGAAATCGATACTTGTTCAGTAGGTGAGCATCCAACGCCATGAAAAGTTTTCAGGAATAAGCTCGTGAGGCCGGCTGCAATGATGGGTATGAGAAGCGCTGCTATGTATGGAAGATAGTTGCGGCGAAGTATTGTAGCCCTCTTGCGAAATAAGACCTGCGTCTGGCGAAAGAAGCCAATACTCCTACTCGAGTGCAGCTCCAATGCCCCTGATTCTTCAGAGATGCAGATTGCGGGTGCGTGCGCGTGGTTTTCAATTTTGTCAGGCCCTAGCAACGAAGCTTCTGGGTCGAGACTGGAAGTGCTTTCTGCGCTAATCTCATCTGCCAATTGAAGGAAAACATCTTCAATTGTCGGCCCCGAGAGCTGGTAATCTGTGAGTTTTTCTTCTTCCAGGCGCTTGATGATCATTACGGCTTGCTTCGATGTGTTCGCGACGTACATAGTCTGCCCAAAGGTCTCATGTGACGCAATACCATCAATAACAGGAGCCGGTTGGTGTCCTGCACCAGTTTGCAAATGGATTCTATATCCACCGCCAAGTTTCTCTTTCAATTCCACTGAAGATCCCTGGGCTCTGAGGGTGCCCTTTGATAAGATTGCAATACGATCAGCCAAAAGATCCGCCTCATCGAGAAAGTGGGTCGTGAGGATGATGGTTCTGGTTCCTCTCTCGGCCAGAAGAATATCCCAGATCTTTCGTCGACTGAGAGGATCTAACCCACTGCTGACCTCATCGACACAACATACTGCACTTCCGCCAGTAAACATCATCCCCAGCTGGAGCTTCCTCTTCTGACCGCCGGATAGTGTCTTCGCCTTCGCGTCAATCTTTCTGTCCAGATCGACAGCCTGAATGAGCGCACGGATGGATTGTTGCGTATCCCGTTGACCTGTAGACTTGAGCTTATTGAAAATCCGGATATGTTCTTCGACGGTCAATTCATCCCACAATACGTTCTTCTGAGGAGCAATTCCCAATCCCCCGGTGCCATCAACAGTGATTTTCCCGCTGGTGACTGTATTTAAGCCGGCGATTGCATCAAGAGTAGTGCTCTTCCCAGAGCCGTTGGCCCCGAGGAGAACAAATATCTGACCTTTTGTTGCATTGAGCGTCAAATCACTGACTGCTACCACCGTCGATTTCGGAATCTTGGTAATTCCCGCAAATTGACGCTGGAACCAGTTCGGCCGGTAGTGCTTTGTGAAGTTTTGAAGCTGGACGGTTTGCGATGCACTTGTCGACTTCTCATCTGCAGTTGCATGATTGAGATTCTGGCCAATAACTGATCGCCCCTTGGACGCAGTTCCATACAGACATCGCTCCACAATAGCTCCAAGCAAAGGATATACAAATATCTGGATTATGATGAAAACCAATAGTATTATGCCGGTAATATTCCATGGATTGTCAGGCGCGGCTCGTATGAGATCTGTTGCCCTGACTTGTCTCTCATACCGGGCCATAAAGACGATGAAAAAGACGTAATTACACGGAACAAACAGCAAACTAAGGATTGCAACGGCGCCTGAGCTCATATTATTTATGACCTGGGCAATTACTCCGAGAAGAAGGACAACGAGTGCAATGCTGATGCCACTCAGCTGGGCTTTCTTGAAGAAAGAAGCACCGAGGATTGTAAAAGATACAAGAGAAAGACCGGCTAGAAGATGATATATAATGACTATGGCCATTGAAGTCTGCACGAAGACTCCTACGCCGAGGACTGCTCCAATGACTATCCAACTAGGGAGGTATATGATGTCGAAAGCCAGATGGTACGACAGAATGCGAGCCAACTGTGGCTCCCACCTTCGTAGATTCGGCATCATGCCCTCAATGAGTTGCGACATGCCCAGCTCCCGTTCAGAAGCGATGAAACCAGCCATGTGATATGTCACTCCAACCATGCCGATGAGAAAAGCCACCCCGAGGATGTCAATAATAACACCTTGATAATTAACACGAATAGCCGTATCGCGCTGGGCCTGAGTTTCACTCGTGTAGGTATATTCGAGGACCGTGTCTGGGAGAGCAGCGTGATTGATGGTAGTATTCACGCCTGCGATGGCATAATCGACCGCGCGTTGAAGGGGAAGGAGATAGATTTCGGCATCGTTCGTGTCCTCGTCGACGAAGATTTTCGTACCAAAAGCGCCATCCCCTCGCAGAGTGTAGTTCCATATCCCCCCAGTACCCTCTGTTGGTGAAGACTGGAATACAATCGCGGCATAACAATTCGTTGCGCCTCTCAAGCTACTCTTGCAGACATCCAAGAGCTCAGCCTCGTCCGTCAGCCTCGAGATCTTCGTCCCAGGCGCAGAGGCAGAGGCAGCCACGGCATCGATAACTCGATCGATATCTCCACCAGCCAACCCATTATTAACAAATGCCAGTGTGTCCTTCCCTCCTGTAGCCGCTTTGAGGCCCTCTGCCAGCGTCCGAATTGGGTGACCAGACCCAATGCCGTATGTCGAGGAGGGGACGAACAGATTCCGCGCGTAACTCAAAAAGATCATGAACGCGATGGGGAGGATAACGGCTCGGATGAGGGTGCTGAATGCATGGCGATTGACTGCGATGAGGAGATTCTTCCGCGTCAGGGTCCACGACTGGCTGAGGACAGCCATAATGGCGGTGGGGGGTTGTCGTCTTCCAAGGAGCGGAGGTGGGAGGGAATTCGAGGGTCGAGGGTGATGTCGCCAACGTCGTTCACAATCCACAAGAGCTCCAGACGCCCATTTTCCTTGATCAATTACTTCCAGCCTCGATTTGACTCCTAACTCGACTGTACCAGCGCATTCGGGGAGGTTGCTGCAATGGCGCAATGGCAGATGGACCACGGTAAAAGGTCTTAACGAAGGGATGGACAACACAAAAAAAAAACAGTGAAATATTTGACGGAAAAGAGAGAAAATCTAGAAGAAACAATAGAGACGAAGGGCTGGCATTGCGCGGCAAGGAGACAAAACACTGACGCTGAAGATAAGCAGGGGGGCTTTCTTGCATCGCTAGAGCTTCCAGATTCTCTCACTCGAGCAGGGCCGGCGGTCTGCCCCCTGACGCCGCAGTCGTCCAGGGTATAAAGAAGGGATGCCTCTCACATAAATCATCAGGAGAATATCAAGGGGACGACGAGAACCCCAACCTGCGTTGAAGGCCTGTATCTGCGTTGCGGGGGGTGCCTCGTATAAAAGGGAGGGAGGATGACAGTAACTCGACGAGATGCAGCAAAGAACAAAGGGTTTCGCTTCGCCCAAGAGCTGACTTCATGACAAACAACCGAATAGTTACAAGAATACTGGATACGGCCATCCGATATCTCAAATAGGAACTTTTTCCCGGTCTTGCAGTCAGTTGTACAGTCACGGAGAAGTCTTCGTATTCAGAGAGAGCGTTGCGCTGAGCTGAGCTGTGAGCATAGTTACAATGGCAACGTGGATACGAGGAAAAGAATACGCGGAATGCAACCATCGACCATCGCGGGATTAATCAGTCGGTCGTTCATCTTTCAGGTGGCCGTGCATCCGTGGAGTATAAAAGAAGCTGTTCTCTCGGTCAAAAATTGAATTCAATCCTCTTGTTCAAATATTCAGATCTATAACCCCCCCCCCCCTCCCTCTTTTTTGAAAATTTAATCCAAAAAGAAAAGCAATCTCCAGTGGTCTCTGTCCTTCTTCCTCCTCCAAGCTCGAAGAAAAGAATAAAATTTAATATTTTCTTTTACAAACATCATGATTTTCATGCGCTCAATTGCCCTTGCGGCATCCACCATCATCGGTCTCACCTCCGCAGCGCCTACTGTGAAGGAAGCCAGGCAAACCCCATGGGTCCCCGGGACCCAGAACAACACTCAAGAGTTCTACATCAAAATGACCGTGACGGACGGCCTTGAGAAGTATAACGGATGGGCCCGTAAGCTCCCCCCATGCTGTCTCGTATCCCACAACTAACACTGTCCCAGTGGAAGCGTATCACACCGGCGCAGGGGAGGCCGACCCCGTATTCGTGAACGGCACGGGCTCGCGAGCCTTTCTGAACGGGACGAATTTGCAGTTCGACGTGTCGCCGTACCCATTCAGCGTCAATGCTTTCCCCTCCGACACCAACTATGCACGTTGGGAGCCCGTGACTATCACGTCGGGCTTTGGCTCGGGACCGTGGGTGAACGGCGGGCCGGATGGGCTCCAGGTCGATCAGGACGAGTCCGATGGGTGGCTGGTCTGTGAGTGGTATCACGATGATAATGCGCCGCAGCTCTTCCAGATGATCAAGTATTTTGACAATGCGACGGACGAGAGCCCGTATGATGTGCCGTCGAGCTGTGCCAGGGTTCTCTTGTTTCCCGAGTTCATTTAAGAGCGTGTCTTGTTGAGAAGTTCATGTACTGTTGTTATTCCATGAAATAATCATATAATCATAATATTATCTCCTATTTTATACGGTTTTCCTAAGATACCTTGATATCGACCGTTTGCGTGGGTAGAATGGTGGCTGGGGTTGTAAAAGTAGGGGCAACTCTAGGTATGCTTGGAGTCGGAGAGGCACATTCATGTGCTGTGTTGCTTTCAAATATTAAAAGCAAAGAATGCAGCAATAGGACCGCATTGGCGAAATTTCACTGGTGAGGGTTCGAGTACACTGGGAGAAAGTAGTAGTGGTCCAGAAATGATTCCCTAATGATAACGATCTAGTAATACGTAAGGTGGCCATGTATCCCTGGCTATACTCGTCGTACTCCGTTAAGAACTCCCAAATAACCAAAAAAATCCCCACCCATCATGTTTTTTAACCCCGAAGACCCACCCCATTTTTTTATGCGTAGAGCTTCTTCTCGTAACTCTCCATGTTAACTCCTCCTTCAAGTTGGGCACTGGCAGTCCGCAACTCAAATCGGGTGGTGCCATTCTGCACAGACTCGTGCAATTCCACAAGACTCTTTTTACCACAGTCTTGGAGGGAATGCTTCAGACCGGCTGCGAGGTAGGGAACGAACTTGGTAACAGATCTGGTAAACAGTCAGCAATTGAAGAGGACAAAGTCCGAAGTAACATACCCTCTGTGAGCAACAGCGCCGGAGACACCTTGCGCGACAAGTACACTGTCACCTTCGGAGAAGTACCTAGCAGTACCAGCATTGCTCTTCTGGCTGTCCTTACCACCACCACCAGCCTTCTTATCCTGCATTGCGTCGATACTTCCCATTCCCCTATATGCCTTCACCAGCTTACCTTCCCGGCTGACAAATGATGTACCAGGTGATTCTGTGGTACCGGCAAGGAGGCCACCCATCATGATCGTAGTTGCACCCAAAGCAAGTCCTTTGACGATGTGACCAACGTTTTGGATACCTCCGTCTGCCATGCATGGGACACCAAACTTGGCCGCGAAGGAGCTAACATTGTAAACAGCGGCAGCCTGGGGTCTGCCAACAGCCATGACTTCTTGAGTAATACAAGCACTGCCGCTTCCCATACCAATTCGGAGCCCATCGACACCAGCGGCAATGAGAGAGGCTGCTTGTTCACGGGTAACTACGTTCCCTCCGATGACATCAATTTCGGGAAATTTCTCCTTGATCCATTTGACCATCTCAATTTGGTACATGCTGTTTCCCTGACTGCTGTCCAGGACAACAATATCAAGGCCGGCATCGACCAGCTTCTGCAGACGGATCTTGTCCTCCGGTCGTGTGCCAATGGCAGCAGCGCAGATGAGCTGCTTGGAATCTGGAAGCTTGGAGGCCAATGGGAAATGGAGATTCTTGGTCAAATCGGATCTCGAGATCATGGAGACGAGATTTCCTTCAGTATCAACAATTGGAAGTTTTCCCTTCTTGGACTTTGACAGGATCTTGTTGGCTTCCAGCAGAGTCGTCCCATAAGATGCGGTGATGAGGTCAGTAACCATGACAGCAGAAACAGGCAGGTTAGTGTTCTCCTCAAATTGTATATCTCGGTTCGTGACAATGCCAATGAGCTTCGAGCCCAGCTTTCCATTTTCTGTTGCAAATCATGTTAGCAATTGCAAGACATGAAAATTTTTACAATGATGATGGTGAGTCCACTTTAGTTCATAAAGAGCATAGATTGAATCCCCATGACCTTGCGGTCAATACGGAAGAACGAAAGTTATTTGTAATGTTTGGTAATCATGAAAGTGTGCTAGGGAGAAGAATAGAACGAAGGGGCTCATACCTGTGACTGGGAAGCCTCCAAATCCCCACTTTTCCTTCAAAGCCTTTACCTCTCCAACCGTTGTGTTGCGGCTGATGACAACAGGATCCAGGATGAAGCCGTTCTCAAATCTCTTGACTTTCCGGACCATTTCTGCTTGCTCATCGGCGGAGCAGTTGTGGTGGATGACACCAAGCCCGCCCTGGAGAGCCATGTGAATGGCCATTTCGTGCTCAGTCACAGTATCCATAGGGGAGGAGACGAACGGGGTCTTGAGAGTGATTCGCTTTGTGACGGGAGAGTCCAGGTTGACCTCGGAAGCAGCGAAGCCAATGTAGCCTGGCAAGACAAGGAAATCATTGTAGGTCAATCCGCCGTGCTTCTTTGAGTCGAGCAGAGCCTTCACATCCAGTCCATCAGGCTCCTCATACTGGCTGAGGGCCTCGATGGCCTTCTTGTGGTCCATGATGGGACCAAAGAAGTGCTCAGCCGCGGGGATGTCGCCATTTGTGAGAGGCATCGTGAACTGGATAATGGGAAGAGGAAGACAGACAAGAGAAACGAGGAAAGATATACAACAGTAGGAATAGTCGACACGATGCGGTTCGAGGGCAAAAAGTGTGGTCGACGGGTTGAAGTCTCCTTCTCCCAAGAGAGAAGAGAAAAAAAGAAATTTTGTAAACCCAATTTTTGCTTCTATAAGGGAGCGGGGATCGGGATGCGCTAGGGAAAACCTTTCGCCGGTGGAAAGGTGAAATCCCTTATTAATGCGGAGCCCCACGAATAAGGCATTCAGGCCGCAATACATCCTCCGCCGGAGAGAGGTTGTTCCCGGCCGGTCACGCTAGCCTGATTTCGGTTCTCCGTAAACAGCTGAATGTAAACAAACGAAATTCATCGTATCCTGGCAGCCCAACCAACTCCCCTCCAAACCACGCCGTCGAGGAGCTGTCTCTAAAAGCGCCCCGCGCAACTGAAACACATCGTTCTCGCTCATAACCATCCATCTTGTCGGCTTTCTGCTGTCATCGGACCATCTCTGCTTCTTGCACCCACCGCCCGCCTGGCATACGAGAAGAACAAACGCGGCCGACCTCGCGAGCCATCCTGATCCTCGTCGACCTTCTTCGAACTCAGAAGCCCGGATCCATACGGCCAGGGAGGAGGTGGCCTTCGACCATATGTATACGGCGAGGATAAAGCCTCCTGATAGAGAATCGGTGAAGCCCTACTATTAACATCGACCTCGAACCCAGACATCGTGATGTCGTTCCGGCATCCCCTCCAACAAACACATACTGCCAGCTACTCTACAACAAAGCGTCAACCTTCAAATGCATCCACTGCCTCTACTTCTTACTCAAATTCTTCCGGCGCATTCGAGCTGAGCCGCACAAGTACATTGTCATCAACAGGATCAAGTGGATACGTAGGCCGCAAACGAGGAGCGACCGAAGCATCACGAATGTCTCCTTCTGGCTTCGAGAATGGCAGTGGCTACGGCAGTAATGATTCAAGCCCGAACAATGCATACATGAGTGCGCGCCAGTCGCTCCGGCCCCTGCCTCAGCCGCCGAGCCCTTCACCGCCCAGTAGAGACCGGAATGTATATCAACATACTCGAGGCAAAAGCCTGGACGTTGGCAAGCTGGGGTATGCGGATGGAAGCGCTCCGATTTCGACTTTAACTTCTCGAGCGTCCTCGATCCGTCCGAATTCGATGGTGCTCGGCCGTTCAGACTCGATCAGCCGGACTGGTCGAAGTTATACCCTCCAGCATCAGCATAGCCCGTTCGCTGCCCCAGACCTTCAAAGCCTGCAAAAGTCGTCAACGAGTCAATTACGAACTCTCTCGAAATTTGCCGAAAATGGCTCTCCAGATGACTTTGCCATCACGGCACCCTCCCAAGAAGTGGCTGGTCTCCATGGCCGGCGCAGATTGCAACGAAGCGATCACACAAGGGGTGACCGGAATACCGTTGCGCAGAATAGGTCTAATGGCTATGGTTGGGAAGGTCGGAATTGGATGGACAAGCAGAGACAATTTCTCCAGGCTTATGAATATCTCTGTCACATCGGTGAGGCGAAGGAATGGATTGAAGATATCCTGCAGCGACCAATACCTCCGATTGTACAACTAGAGGAAGCTCTGAGGGATGGTGTCACCTTGGCTGAGATTGTGGATTCCTTGTATCCTGAACGTCGAATACGAATCTTCCGACATCCCAAACTTCAATTTCGACATTCCGACAATATTGCCACCTTCTTCCGGTTCCTTGCCGAAGTTGAACTTCCTGACCTTTTCCGATTTGAACTTATCGACTTATACGAGAAGAAGAATATCCCCAAGGTCATTTACTGTATCCATGCCTTAAGCTGGCTCCTATTCAGAAAAGGCATTGTGGGCTTCACGATTGGCAACCTGCTTGGACAACTTGAATTCGAACATCATGAGTTGGAAGAGATGCAGAAGGGCTTGGATAAGGCAGGAGTCAGCATGCCTAGTTTTGGGAACATGGGTGCGGATTTCGGTATAGAACCTGTCCCCGAACCAGAGCCAGTCGAGACTGAGGAGGATCGAATTGCCCGAGAGCTGGGAGAAAATGAGATGATGATCGTGGACCTACAAGCACGAATTCGCGGAGCAGTTATCCGCATGCAACTGGGAAATACAATGCAGCAGTTATGGGATTACGAGCATATCTACGTCGAATTACAATCCATGATTCGAGGAGACTTCACTCGGCAGATAATGGAGTATCGTCTTGCCATGCGCAAATTCGCCGTGAACCTTCAAAGCAGTGCTCGAGGTTTCTTGGCGAGGCGCAGGCAGTCGAGTAGGGAGACATTCTGGAAAAGTCGAGAGGGGGACGTGTTAGAGTTACAGAGCCTTATCAGGGCAAAGAAAGCCCGAGATGAGGTACGCACGACAAGATCAGAATTGCAATATTCAGAGCCTGCGGTGAAGGAATTCCAAGCCAGCCTTCGAGGCTTCCTTGCTCGGAGAAATCTGGCGGCGCAAGAGAAGGAGACAAGGTCTATGGCCGGGCCAGTCAAGAGCTTGCAAGCTGCGATCAGGGGCATGCTTCTCCGAAGCACTATTGCCGAGGACCACGAACATCTCTGGCGTGAAGAAGAATCGATCCGCGCTGTTCAGGCTGCAGTCAAGGGTATGCTTCTCCGGGGCACTGTTGCCAAGGACCGCGAACATTTCTGGAGTAAAGAAGAATCGATCCGCGCTGTTCAGGCTGCAATCAGGGGTATGCTTCTCCGGAGTACTGTTGCCAAGGACCACGAAAATCTCTGGCGTGAAGAAAAATCGATCCGCGCTGTTCAGGCGTTCGCACGAGCTATGTTAACGAGAAACCAACTTTCCAGGCAGAGAGAAGCACTTGAGCAGTCATCTCCAATCTGGACGAAACTCCAAGCAGCTTCGAGAGGAATGCTCCTGCGTAGCAAGGTCCAATCAACAAGCCAGGAGTTGAAGACACACTCACCAGCTATTTCCACCCTACAAGCCTTTATCCGCGCGGCAGCTGTTCGCGGTGAAGTGGCCTCTACTCTTTCAGCCTTGAAGAAAGAGGAGTCGTCGATATTAGAAGTCCAGACGCTTGTTAGAGGAATGCTGTTGCGGCAGATGGTGGCTGCAGACTACGAGGCGCTTCTCGCACAATCTTCACAAATCTCAGAACTTCAAGCTCTGGCGAGAGGATGTCTCCTGCGACAGCATACCGAGGCCCTTCTGGACAACCTCCAGTCCCATACTGCGGAAATTGTGGAACTTCAAGCATTATCACGAGCAGTACTTCTGCGCAACGACATTGGAATGCTTCTTGGAGAATTGGAGGCTGAAGAGGACTCGGTCATTGCTGTTCAGGCTGCCGCGAAGGCCTTCGTGGTCCGTGCAAGGTTCGCTGAGAAGCAACGTTTCTTCAAGGAGAACATGGAGAAGGTTGTCAAGCTCCAGAGCTTTGTCCGGGGCAAGCTGCAGGGTGAAGCCTATAAGAGCTTGACTACTGGAAAGAACCCACCTGTCAACACCGTCAAGAACTTTGTCCACTTGTTAAATGACAGTGACTTTGATTTCAACGAGGAAATAGAGTTTGAGCGTCTGCGCAAAACGGTTGTTCAGCAGGTCCGTCAAAACGAGATGGCTGAGCAATACATTGATCAGCTGGACATCAAGATCGCTCTCCTTGTGAAGAACAAGATCACTCTCGATGAAGTTGTGAAGCACCAGAGGAATTTTGGTGGACATTCCGGAAATCTCCTTGTGAATACATCCATGATTTCGGGCAACCATTTCGACCTCAAGGCGTTGAACAAAAACTCGAGAAAGAAACTCGAGTTGTATCAGCAATTATTTTTCAGCCTGCAAACCCAACCCCAATATCTTGCACGGCTCTTCAAACGAATACGTGAACAGGGAACGGCAGAGAAGGATTGCAAGCGAATCGAAACTCTGATGATGGGTCTTTTTGGCTACGCCCAGAAGCGTAGGGAGGAGTATTACCTCCTCAAGCTTATTGTTCGATCGGTGAAGGAGGAGGTTGATGGTCTGACTTCAGTCCAAGAATTTCTCCGCGGGAACTTCTTTTGGTGCAAGCTCCTGGCCAACTACACAAGATCGCCACGCGACAGGAAATATCTACGAGAGCTTCTGGGACCTTTGATCCACACTAACATCATCGAAGATCCAGCTCTTGATCTCGAAAGTGACCCCATGCAAATCTATCGCTCGGCTATCAACAACGAAGAACTCCGGACAGGACGACCTAGCCAACGGCCACTCGATATCCCTCGGGAGGTTGCCATCAAAGACTTAGAAACACGGGACTTGTTTATTGACCATTTACGTGACCTCCGGGAAATTGCAGACCAGTTCCTTCTTGCCCTGGAGACCCTCTTGCACAAGATGCCATACGGGATTCGATTCGTGTGCCAACAGACGTTTCAATCTCTCTGTGAACATTTCGCCCGCGAACCCCAAGAACACCTTCTACAGGTTGCCGGGAATTGGCTCTGGAAATTCTATCTCCAACCTGCTTTGACCGCGCCAGAATCAATGGGCGTTGTCGAGAAGCAACTGACACCTCTTCAAAAGAGAAACCTAGGAGAAGTCGCCAAGGTCCTCGGCCAAGTTGCATCAGGTAGGCTGTTCGGCGGCGAGAATATTTACCTGCAGCCACTGAACGCTTATGTCGGACAAGCTATTGAGCGTATTTCTCTGATCTTCTCCAATATCATATCTGTGGGCGATGCAGAAAGTACATTCGACATCGATGAATTTAACGACCTTTATGCTCGCACAAAGCCCACCCTGTACATCAAGATGTCAGACATCTTCTCAATCCACAACCTGGTGGCAACAGACCTTCCGTATATCTGCCCCAACAGAGACGACGTGCTGCGGGAACTTGTCCAGGAACTTGGAAATGCGAAGAGTAATGAAACCGAAATGTTGGGCGTTACGTCCACCGAAATCCAAATGACATTGACCCCCAAGCTCCACGATATCGAGGATCCCGAAGCAGAAGTCAAAGCGCTCTTCATGGAAACCAAGCGATGCATCCTATACATTATCCGCGTCCAATCTGGACCTAATCTCATGGATATTCTTGTCCGCCCTATCTCCATGGAAGATGACCAGAAGTGGCATGCATTGCTGCGAGAAGAATTTGCAGAAGGAAATAAGTCTCGCGGTGCCTATTCAGATGCAAATACTCTGGTCGATATCAAGTCCATGTCTTACAAGGAACTGAAGGCGACAGCCCTGGAAAACATTATGCGGCTGGAACAAATGGGCAGAATATCGCGCCAAAACTTCTATCAAGATATTTTGAATGCAATTGCCTTAGATATCCGCACCAAGAGTCGCCGACGTGTACAGCGGCAACGTGAGCTCGAAGGAGTCCGACTGACGCTGGGTAATTTGAATGAGAAGGCTAAATGGCTCGAATCTCAACGCAAGAGCTACGACAACTACATTGAGCAGGCCATGATGACCCTGCAGAAGAAAGGGCAAGTTACATGTCCCAGATCGTTGAGTACCCGCACTGACATGTCCATAGTAAAAAGCGATTCCTCATGCCCTTCTCGAAACAATACAATCACGAACGTGAACTCGAGCGCTCAGGCCGGAAACCCAAATTTGGATCCTTCAAATACTCGGCACGAACATTGTCAGACAAAGGTGTCCTCGTCTCATGGACAGGCTTCACTGAAAGAGAATGGGACAAGGTCAACCTGACAATCTCCTGTGACCAAGTCGGCGTATTCTTCATCGAAGGCAGCAGAGGAAGCATCCAGATTCCAGGGGCTAGTGCCCAAGTCCCTATGGACTCGTTGTTGGCAGCACAATTTGCCAACCATCAGTACATGGACCTTTTTGAAGGTTCCATGCGACTAAATGTTAACTTGCTGTTGCACCTGGTTTATAAGAAGTTCTACCGAACGGAATGATCAAGTTGCGGATATTGCCACGAATGGATGAGAGATGATAGATGAAGTTGTTATTATGTCTCCTTTAGCGTGGGTTGTATTTGCGTGGCATGGCTTTGGCGTTGCATTAAGTTGGACAAGGCGACGGGTAGGTAACTTATCACGTTAAGAACCGTAGTTTTATGGTGTATATACCTTTCGATTCGGGTCAGAGCTGGAACTACGGGTATGGATAGTGATACTACTAGAGATATTACGAGGAATTGGAAATTTTTAATTTTAGTCTGCTTCGCTCGTGGTTGCGCTGCATTGCCTTGTATTTCATTCAGTATCATCCCATTTTGCACTGTAATTGATTCTGCTATATAGGTCTAGCGACTAGGCGTCTTGGATTCTGCGGCAGGGTAGAGGGGGATATACTTAGTACTCGATGTCCGACTTCAACTGTGTATCGCCCTACGATGTCGAAGCTTGGTGTGGAGACGTCTCCCTTGCGTGACATCTGGTTTGGGAAATGGCTCGAGTAGCGGAATATCGGTTTCTGGATCGGTGATGACGGGTCAGTCGGGACGGCGGGTGCGGTGAGGGTCACTGGAGATGATATGCTATCGCTTGGCTTGCTTTGTGTGGTTTTTTGCTTGCTTCTTGTGAAGAAGATGTGGTAGAGGTTGGCTTTATTTGTGCAGCTCTACTGGCTTTTTTATATTGATCTTGTTGCTGAGCGTGCTAGTATATTACTTGTTCAAATGATTTGATATTTGACATGTTTGCTATGTGGCCAGTCAGTGGTTGTTCAGAATGCGGTGACTGGTGCATCTGTGGGGTATAGGGCTTGATATTGGAAATCAACTGCCAACAAGTGACCTTGGCATCATCGTGTCTTCATTCAAGTCTTGCAATCTAATATCTCTTTCCCATTCCATGACCATGCAATAAATGCTCCCATCAGAATCCCAGAGCCCATAGAGAGTCTGGAAAGCCCTTTCAACCAATTTTATCCTAGTATTAGTAAAATGCCGCTTCTTAGTACATGCAAAGAAGTTATAACCCACGACGCCACCCAGGGAATCAATCAATGGAAACTCGTCCCCCCGGTACCATATCCATTATTCGAAGCCGCAAGCCCATTACTTAATCTTCGGCCTCCACCAGGTCCTACGCTGCCACCAAGGATGCCTATGGGATTGCTCATGTTTCTCTCGAGGGAGCTCTCCCGTTTGGGACTTTGTGCTTTTTGGATATCCCGTGATTTAGTCGTTGAGTTTCCATTTAATGGTAGAGGAGCAGCGGCAGTATCCGTCTCATCATCGTGATTGGGGTTTGCTACTCTATCATTGTCCAGAATATGCTCTCCAATAGGAGTCTCTGGTCCTTCATCCTCTTCCTCTTCATCGTCGGTATTGTCTGCTGTTTTCGAGAAGCCTTCCATCTCAACTAGATACCAGACAGGGATTGCACCGAGGAGGGCCATAAAGGCCAGGAACCACCAGGCGGTAACCACATATCCGATTTTCAGGCCCCATGTGAAGGAAGTGCCGGTCATGAACGGACCGAGCGCTCGCCCTACGGCGCTGATGCTAACGGCGAAGCCGTTCAGAGTGCCGAGGATACGAAGGCTGGTCGCGGAGTTCGTGAGTAGGACGGTAGAGCAGGGGAAGGCAAAAATTCCAGCGAAGCACTTGACGAGCATTATGCAAACCATGACAGCTTGCTGCCAGGCTGGATCTTCGATCAGTGCGGTATAGGGAGTCACGAAATAGACGATCGGGAAGGTCACGGCGCATAGCTTGAAGCAGCGCAGGACCCCCAGTCGCCGGGCCACGGGCGGGAAGAAGAAGAATTGCATGAGCCCGCCGAAGATACCGTATAGGGTGAAGATGGTTCCGATGCGACCGGAGGCCAGGCCGAACCCGCCGGAAAATTTGAAGGGCAGGTGGGTGTTAGATGGATCATGGTCTTCGCGGGGGTGGTGTAGGAAGATGGGAACTAGCTGGTCGTAGGCCCCGGAATGGAGAGCAAGGATGCTGTATGCTGCAAGGTTGATAACGGACTGGCGTGTGAAAACTTCGGATAGGGTGGGGCGAGTGACCGGTGGCTTTGGAGACTTTGGAGTGAAGGAGTCGGAGAAAGCTTTCGAGGAATCGGAATTAGCAGAAGAGGGGGGCCGGAGGAGGGGCGAGGTCTCATTAACGGCAGACTGGTGGCGGGAGCTCCTGGTGCGCTTGTCGAGGTGAAAAAGGGTCCCAAAGAAAGCTACAAGGCGCTGGCCTAGTATTCGACCCGGGTCTTTCTTGTGGCGTTTGGTTTCGAGAGTTTCCTTTCGTAGGTAGGTTAGTGGACAGTATGAATGCCTGGCTGCTCGAGGAGACTTACTTGGAGGAATAAGATTCCAGTGGTAATCCCGATAAGGAAGAATGTACTGGCGATGATGTTTGGGAGAAGGAAGGGAAACTTGATCAGGAGCTTGTTATCTCCAAAAATCCCAGACAGGTTTTCAGCAGGTTTGGCGAAGAATCCACCTAGAGATGGTCCTAAAGTTGATCCAAGACTCCATACCATGGGCATTACGGAAAACGCTCTTGGTTGCAGTTCCTTTTCGGGAACCATTTCAGCCACCATTGTTCGAATGATACCGACTGAGAATAGTCAGCGGGATCCAAGAAACAGTCGAGTGTAGATCATACCATTTCCATTACAACCACCAGACATAGCTCTCGAAACAATGGCCATTGGAAGACTTGATGACATGCCCCATATCAAGCTTAATAACATGGTGCATGTCAGACTCGTTAAGATGACAGGTTTGCGGCCAAATTTATCGGAGGCTCTTCCCCAGAGAACGGCAGTCAGACATTGTGAAATGGAGAAGACGGCTGATGTGATGCCAGCCCATTTTGCAACTTCTCTTTTGGTCACGCCAAAGCTCTCGATCATTTCCGGCTAGGAAGTCATGTGAGTAGGGGGCGGACGAGGGAGCTCTGGTTCACGTACTAGATACGGGAAGACCGAGGTCATGGAGACGGGTTCAGCGAATCTACATATTGCTGTGGATGTCCCAGTCAGCTAGATTCGGGGAGAATAAGAGGGAGAGGTAGTAAAAACATTCAGTACATCACGCAAACGGCTGCCTCGTGCAACCAGTTGAAGCATGATTTTTGGGGGTGTAGACGAGCTTCAGGCGCGAGATGGGGGTTTTGAAGGGGTACCTGAGGGTTTATCATATCTCAACTAGAGAGAACTGGCCCGAAGCAGCCATGAAGTCGGTTCGTGAAGGATGGAATAGCAGGCCGATATAGCTAGATATACACTAGTATTCCTCAGTCATCATTAGATTCAGAAGCATCCTCCTTGCGATTCCCGAGTCAAGCTGACCGACCTCCCATCCCGGTCCCAACAGGTCTATAAATCAGTTTTCTCTTGCCTGGATTTTCGCAGGTCTCATATATAACTTGGATTGCATCAGAAGGTCGGTGAGCAAACGCAAGCAAGACTCACCAAGAATGCCCAGCTGCTTCACAGGCAGCCTGGGGGGACCGCGCGACCTCTTGACGGCCATTTGGGAATGTCAGATTGCTTCCTCGACGCTGGCTGAGCAGCAGGAAGACAATAAGACAGAGATGGATGTATATGGAGAGGAGATGAAGCTGTCCAGAGGTCGACGGATCAAAGAGGGGGTCAAAGTAAAACACGGGCTACGGATCAAAAGCGGCTAGATCCTTCTTAGTCCCGCCGGCCAAGGAGGAACCTTAGTCCGCCCGGGCCGGACCCGGAGAGGATCCGGCGATCAGGGAAACAAGCATGATGATTGGCTGAGACGCGGCGCGCGCGGGGAGGGGAGCTTATCAGGGATCACGTGCTTTGGCCGCGGGCCGTGAGCGAATTGGGGTGGCGGATGGCGACAGTCAGGTCAGCTCAGGTCAGCTCTCTCTCTCTCTCTTGCTCCTCTCTCTCCTTTCTCCATCTTCACCACTCTCTCTCCTCCAGCTCATCATGTCCAGGACAGGTCTCCTGGACGAGAAGAACATGGAGAGCAACGAACGAACTCCCTTGATTGCAACCGTCCTCGTCGCCCCTCCGCGACGACGATATCAGCACAATGTTGTCCGTCGCTTCTGCACCCTTTGCCTGTTCTCCGCCTTGGTTATCGTGACCACCATATTCCTCCTCCAGGTCGCCCTGGCCCCAGACGGCTACTCCCATAGACCTAACCCAGTCCCCGACCATACGAGTGCAATTACTTTCCAGGAGCTGCAGGAGATCTTGTTGGGAACGCCCGAGGCGGCGAACGCGCGGGAGTGGAGTAGATACTACACCTCCGGCCCGCATTTGGCTGGCAAGAACTATAGCCAGGCCGAATGGACACAAAACAAGTTTCAGGAGTTTGGCATCAAGTCCCATATTGTGGCCTACGATACCTACATCAATTACCCTCTCGGCCACCGGTTGGCCCTATACGAGAAGGCGGATAGCGAGGTTGTTGATGGAACTTCGGATCTGGATGCTTGGAAGGTTAAATTCGAAGCGAGTCTCGAGGAAGATGTGCTGGAAGAAGACCAAACTAGTGGATTGGTGGACAGAGTTCCTACCTTCCACGGGTATTCAGCAACCGGCAATGTCACTGCTCCATACGTCTATGTGAATTACGGCACGTATCAAGATTACGAAGACTTGATCAAGGCCAATATCAGCTTGGAGGGAAAGATTGCTGTTGCAAAGTATGGTGGAATATTCAGAGGACTCAAGGTCAAGCGTGCGCAAGACTTGGGCATGGTCGGCGCTATTCTTTTTACAGACCCTGGCGATGATGGAGATTCCACAGAGGAAAATGGCGTTGCGGTTTACCCAGATGGGCCTGCACGAAACCCAACTAGTGTTCAGCGAGGAAGCACTCAGTTCCTGAGCTTTGCCCCTGGAGATCCGTGAGTTACTCCTTTCCCTCGGTCCCTGCAAATACTAACCTGCATAGAACGACTCCTGGCTACCCTTCCAAACCGGGCGTGCCTCGCCAACCTGTCGACAATGCTATCCCATCAATCCCTTCGATCCCAATCTCATATGTCGACGCAATCCCCATCCTTACAGCGCTCAATGGACATGGCCCATCAGCGAAGGATTTCAATGAATACTGGCAGAATAATCTGGGTCTGGAGTATAAAGGTGTTAATTACAATATTGGGCCTTCTCCAGATAATTTGGTATTAAACTTGGTAAACGAACAAGAATACGTCACAACACCGCTCTGGGACGTCATTGGGGTTATCAACGGGACTCTTTTCGACGAAGTTATTGTTATTGGGAACCATCGTGATGCATGGATTGCTGGAGGAGCAGGCGATCCGAACAGCGGCTCCGCTGCTCTTATCGAAGTTGCTCGAAGTTTCGGTGAGGCAGTCTCCAGAGGTTGGAAGCCACTTCGCACGATCGTCTTCGCCAGCTGGGATGGTGAAGAATATGGCTTGATTGGATCTACTGAATGGGTTGAGGAATACCTTCCTTGGCTCACCCATGCCAACGTTGCATATGTCAATGTTGATGTCGGGACTACTGGCCCTGTCTTTTCGGCTTCAGCTAGTCCCCTGCTGAACAAACTCCTTTATGAGGTGGTTTCATTGGTACCCTCCCCGAATCAGACCATTCCAGGTCAAACAGTAGGCGATGTCTGGAACGGCAGGATCGGCACCATGGGCAGTGGCAGCGACTTTACGGCTTTTCAAGACTTTGCTGGTATTCCATCAATTGATATGGGTTTTGGTCCTGACCCGGGAATACCAGGAAAAACTGGCAGTGCAGCGGTCTACCAGTACCACTCAAACTATGATTCCTTCCACTGGATGGATACTTTTGGGGATCCAGGTTTCCACTACCATGCCACAATCGCGAAGATCTGGGCATTATTTACAGCCAAATTAGCCGAGGCACCTGTCATCCCGCTCAATGCAACCGATTACGCGACTGCAATAGAGGGATACATTTCAAAGCTTGAGGGGAAGTTGGACGCTGCAATCAGCGGAATCCCCAGCGACGGAGAAGAACTCGAGATTCGTGCGCGCCCAACCCCCACCGGAGCCAAGGGTGATATCAATGAACTCAAAGTATCATTCCACCAACTTTACAAAGCGGCTTCCGAATTCAAATCTGCAGCAATCGCACACGATGCTTTAGCTGCACAGTTGGCGGAGGAAGTAAAAGATGATATCCCATGGTGGAAATGGTTGTCGAAGCTGAGGCTCTATTACCGTATCCGAAAAGTTAACGACAAATACAAGTTTCTCGAGAGGAAGTTTTTGTACAAGAAGGGCTTAGATGGCAGATCATGGTTCAAGCATGTCATCTTTGCGCCGGGATTATGGACAGGATACGCTGGCGCTGTGTTCCCCGGATTGGACGAGGCCATTAGCGACAAGGATTATGGGAATGCGCAGAGATGGGTTGAGATTATCGAAACCGCGATCTATAAGGCTGCGAAAAGTCTGAAGTGATGGTGATTTACTGTGGATATGATACCAGGAACTATATGTAGATTGTATCTAGACGCCTTGGATATAGATGATATTTTCAATCCCCACGAAACAGTTCAAGATCAGTGGATACTTTGACTTTGAAATGAAAACAATTATAGAAGATATTTATTGCGTCTCATGTAGATGAGAGAGGAGCGATAAGATTCGAGGTGGGATGCCTTTTCGTCGATCTTTCCAATGCCCCACCAGCCCCGCCCTGTCAAATCCTCGGGTTGTTACCCCAGATTTCTGACATAATCCTTTCGCTTTTCCGTGAGGACAACTTGCAAGAACCATGACACAACTTCATCTTCTCTCTTCAACTCCCACTCTGCTCTCTTATCCATGAATTGACCTCTTCTGGAGCTGTCACGGCTTCAACATAGTCCACACCCAGCTTCGAGAAACAGCAAGATGGTCTACACAAACGTCCTCGCGGTAGCTGTCACTGCTCTCCTCGCTGCGTTGCCGGTCCAGGCTGGTCTGTACAGCAAGAACTCGCCGGTTATACAGGTCGATGGCAGGAGCTACGATTGCTTGATTGCTCAATCCAATTACACTTCCGTACAACCCCCCGCTGTCTCCTGACCCTCAATTTTCTAACCGGTGGCAAACAGATCGTCGAGTTCTACGCCCCGTGGTGCGGGCACTGCAAGAACCTCCAACCCGCCTACGAGAAAGCAGCGAAGAGCCTTGCTGGCCTAGCCAAGGTAGCAGCCATCGACTGTGACGACGACTCCAACAAGGCCTTCTGCGGAAAATTCGGCGTGCAGGGATTCCCCACCTTGAAGATCGTGAGGCCCGGAAAGACACCTGGAAAGCCCATTGTTGAAGATTACCAAGGGCCGCGAAGCGCCAAGGCAATCGTTGATGCCGTCGTCGACAAGATTCCCAACCTTGTGAAGCGCGTGGATGATAAGTCACTCGAGACGTTTTTGGAAGAGGCAAATGATACGGCGAAGGCGATCTTGTTCACGGACAAAGGCAAGACGAGTGCGTTGATGAAGGCCGTAGCTATTGATTTCAAGGGCAGCGTCTCTGTGGCACAGATTCGCAATACGGAGAAGGAAAAGGCGACTCTAGAGCTCTTTGGCATTTCGAAATTCCCAACCCTGCTTCTGTTGCCTGGAGGCAAGGAAGCAGAAGGCATAGTCTATGATGGCGAGTTAACCAAAGAAGCGATCGTCGACTTCATCTCCAAATCCACCAATATTGCACCGAACCCTGATCCGGCTCCTGCCAAAGTTAAGGTCTCGAAGCCAAAGGAGGAAAAGAACGCCAATAAGAAGAAGGCGGAGTTTGAGTCGGCCTCGAAAGAGCACGCTAAGGAAGATGGCAAGACGGCTGGTGCGTCTGCTACAGAAGAAACCCTGGAGGAGGAAGCAACGCCGTCTCCTGATCCGATCGTGGAGGGCCAGAAACCCGCCCATATCCGTGATCCGGCACCAATCATTCCTTATATTGAGACAGCCGAGCAGTTGGAGAAAGAATGTCTCGGTCCTCGTACCGGAACTTGTATCCTGGTTTTCTTGCCTGAGACTCCAGACTCGATGACAGCGACGGCCCTTATAGGAGTGTCTGAGGTTGCGCATAAACTCAAGCTTCACAACAGTAATCTGTTCCCTTTCTACGCTCTGTCTCCAACAAACCCGGCATATGAGAAGATTGTACCAAAGTTGGGCTTGACGGCGAATATCGACATCATCGCAGTTAATGGGAGACGCGGATGGTGGAGAGCGTTGCCGAAGAGCTCAGATGATCTCGTAGAAGCGGACATCAGTGAGGAAAATATTGAGAAATGGGTGGACAGTATTAGAATGGGTGATGGTAAGAAGGAAAAGTTGCCGGAGGGTCTGGTTCCTGAGGAGGAGGCTGAAAAGGTCGAGGAGGCTGAAAAGGCTGAGGAGACTGAAAAAGCTGAGGAGACTGAAAAGGTTGAGGAGGCTGAGGGAGTTGAGGAGCCTGCCGAAGAGCCTGCTATCACCGAGCCGGTTATTGTGGATGAAATGCCACCGGTAGAGTCTGAGAAATCTCATGATGAGCTATGAACATAAAGGGAGCGGAATTGGCTTTTGGCGCGGGCTTTTGCTGTACTTTTAGCGGACTTTCATTACATGCTAGCGGACTCTAATTTGCATGCATATATCTGGTACTATCCAGCATGACACCCTGATCTCATTGCAATGATTTTTATCTAGTTTCAGTTCCCATCCTGATCTTTTGGACGCCAAAATACCGGGTATCATTCATTCATACACATCCCTCACCACTCCTTTCGGCCAATCATCATAATTTCGTCGTCCCCTCGAGTATCTTCTTCCCTCTCGTTCTCACAACCCCATCCAGCAAATCCCTAACCTGTTTGCACCCATCCACAGCAACGGCCAACATACCCTCCAACCTACCGACCTGCACCCTCGTTTCCATGACCAAAACACTGACTTCATCCGAGGCGCCCAGCGTCGCCACCGTCAAGAACGGCAATTCCAATTCCTCCGTAGAGTTCAAATCCAGCAGCGGGTCAGCCGACTCGTCGTTCGACGAATAGGACGAGGTGGAGCCGGCGGTGCAGGAGCAGATATAGTCGCGCATTGGGATACCGGCGTCGGCGAGCGCGAGCGTGGAAGCGTTGATGAGGGCAGCGAGCAGGGAGCCGTCTTGGGAGAGGACGTGCAGAGAAAGGGTTATGGTGCTGTGGGGGTAGAGGTGCGTGAAGAGGGAATTGGTGAAGGCGTTCGCTATCGTGGTGGCCATTTCGGAGATACGTCTAGTGCAAGAAAAACAAACAGTCAGCTTAATTCCTCAATTCTATGCCAGAGACTCCCCAGATGGAGGAGTAGTGACGGCAAGTGCGTGCAAGAGAATTAGGGAATGACGAAAAGAAAGGAGAGAGCCTCACTTGTCATTCTTCCCTCTCCGCTTCCTATCCACGCCGCTAAAGCCAGCGATCGAGATCTCGACCTTGACCTCTGCATTATCGCCCCCTGCTCGGGCTCCTCCCGTGCCTTTGGGTTCTGTAGGCCCGGAAACGGTGCAGATGACCTTGGTGTTGCCCATCTCCAGATAGCTGGAGCCGTCGGCGGAGGCCTGGGTGCTGATCTGGGCTCTCAGGAGGCGGAGCTCGTTCCATCGCCGGCCGTCGAGACGGAGGAGCGCAAGGGAGTAGGAGGAGGTGTCGAGTGGCATTTTCGGTCTGGTGTTGCGAGCGTGGTGGTGGGGGAATCTGGACTTGAGAGAGGTCCTGATGGAGCTCGGGGAAATTTCATCAACGGCCGATCGATGATGCTGATTAGATTAGATCTCAAGATAGGGAGGCTAGGCCTGATATCGTTTAGTCTCATCGCTTGCTTTTCAACTCCTTTCATAGCTATTTCTGACGTTCTGACACTCTTTCTAATCAATATGTTTGGATGATGCACGAGAAAGTCTGGATTGTCTCTTGTTTCTATTGCTGATCATTTTGTCTGTCCTTTTATAAGTCTTGTTGTTTGGGATTTGAAGTTTCAAAGCTATCTATTTATATTAGTGCTTACGGCGAACACAGAACCTCATCTCTTTTCCAATGAAGATCACTTCAGCCATCTCACATCACCAGCCTCTTCTATACACTGAGTTACTATACAGTGGGTCTATTACCCCTCTGCAATCTACAGTCTCACTGTTTGTTGCATGGGATTATCCTGCACTCTACTGGTACCCCGACATTCTGACCAAAGCGCCAGCCGGTCTGATGGCTTACTCAGAACCCTTGGCTGCATACTAACAATCATTCCCCAGCAAATTCCAGCAAATCGCATCACAGTTCCTGGCGGTTAGCTATGCTCCACGAGACAAGAAGAGGCTCAATCTTAAATTACACCGTTTGTTTCATGGCCATGTCTTTGGCTGCGGTTTGGCATCTCTCATTGGCATTAGCAGCTGTCCAGACTAAGCCTTATGCAGCTGCCACGTGGAAATTTTTGGCGGGAGCTCCCTGCCCGCCAACCTTAATTAATAGAAGTCAATGCTCTTCCCGGCATCTTGTTTCCTGCTGTGGCATTTTCTATTTTCTATTATACGTTCTCTTTTGCGGTTTCAGAGGGGGTGTTTTGCTTTTTATCTTCGAGAAATGGAGAAACAACGTTGGTATTCGGCGGATAGGGTTGGCGCGCCAATATACACGCATTCCCAAGGTAATAAGCAAGGGTTCGAATTCGACCTCTATCCCTATACGAGTCCTCATGCTGGGTGGCCGGACGCCACGAAGCCCGTCTGGGGCATTGAATCTCCCGAACCAAACGACCCTCGGAATCAAAATGATGGCAAGAGAAGGCTCCTCCCGGGGTTGAATGCTAGGGAATCTTCGAGACACGAAAGAGACCAGGCGAGGAGGATCCTGGGGTTAACTGTTGGGACGTTTTGGGGCATGGTTGTCCTGTTATGTACCATCATGGCTGGTGGCATTGGAGCCGGAGTCGGGGTTGGATTGGCGTCCCGCAAGAACAATTGCTAGAGGTACCTCAAAAATCTCGATCCTGAACCTCTCGCGCTAGGTAGCTGATTCCTGACAGTGTTCTTAGCAGCAAGAACGATACCGGAGATATCGCTTTAAAGCGCGCAGAGTCTGTGATAGCAGTAATGTCGTCCTCAAACTCCATCTCCACCCATCATCAGGAAGCGGACAATCATCACTCAGCGCCACATCATCCGCACCCACCTCTCTATGCACCAGCACTACACACCCGAACTACAACGATGTTTGAATAACCCTACTCGACGCGAGCAGGCCACCATCCATCATCATCACCAACAAGCCCCTAACCTTCCGCATCTTCTGCGCCACAAACCGGCCCGATGACGCAGAATCTAGCAGCCCAAATATCTATGATATCATGAAAGCCCAAACGCCAGATATAGAGCGTTGTGTAGAGGTATGCGCAGAGTATAATGCAGACATGGCGCATTTAGGGACAGCGACGCCATTATGCAGAGCTGTCAGCTTGGCGCTGGGACCTGGAAGGTCTTATTATTCAAGGAATGTTGAGGGGATTAATAGGGTGGGGAGTGTAGATAGGGGGGTATATGAGCGCTGTTTTGGAATACAATTTGTTCTTGTTCTCGCTCTATGGATTATAATTCATCAAGTGTTGCGTGACTTCTCGTAGCCTGGCTGTGGCCTCCTGCAGTCACTGGTCCACTGAGCCATTAATTCATACGCAACAAACAAAGCAGCAATCCTTTCCATAAATAAATTGACAATACTACTCCATACAACAAATCAAAGCCTTTTGAAGAAACCCCAAAGCAAAGATTGAAGATACTACCGTAGCCAAACATTATAAGAAATGAAACCCATGTAGCGCAGCGTAACTAACCCTAACAGACAGCACTTTTCATGAATCTCTACTCAACGGTAGTTACCTACCTTATACACCATCTCCAACCAATAGCAAGGTCCAACATAAAGACATACCCATGCCATGCCATCCCATCCTTCCTCCACATCTCCAGCCTCTACTTGACAAGACGATGAAACTCCTTCAGATAGAAGTTTACTTGAAAAGAAGGCTTTGCGTGGTGTGTTAGAGGGGGATGGGTTATTCGAATTTTCTGATTCAAGGGTTTTGAAAATCGTGGTGTTTTGTAAGACCTCCCTTTTTTATTTGGCGGGATGGGTGGCTCGCTTAAACCCCTTTTTTGGATATCCCTCGTATATCTTCTAGCTGCGCTGGACAACCTGTCACCTAAGGTATTCGGGGATTTCAAGAGAATGCTGTTGATTGGTGATACTTTCTTGGCATATTGGTCATGAAAGGATGATTGGGAATAATAACGTAGGTAGATAATCTTAACATTCTCTTTACAGCCGATATCCTGTAGATTTGATGTAGGTAGGCTGAACTCCACCTGTTTAAACATTTTATTACGTCGTGTCAATTACTGCTTTCATACATTATGATACGCAGTATAAATGACTACTGGCACCTTGCTATATCCTTCCTCATATCTTGATTACAGAGCAAAAGATTGCTTCATCTGTATCGTACTTTGATATCCCATTGGAGGCCGTGCAGGGGACTGATCCCTCTCGAGTATTTACGCCCAACTCAATCGAAGAGATATAGAAGAAGGCGGAGGGATTAATGAGATTGCCCTGATCTTTTCCAGATCGGATACTGCCGTTGTCTCCTGATCCCGCTAAGAGAATCATTTCTGGATGGCTGCTCTAGTGTGTACCGGCTGAAGAGACAATCGTTCGACGTGAGAGTCATTCGTCTGTACGGCGGAGGAAACGGGGCTATCGGTGGATCTTCCGACTGCACAGTAGTCCACAGCCCAGATCAACCTCCGGATCTACGGCCGCGAATCCGCGTAGCCTTATCCCAAAGATCACCAGTATTTCTTATCGAAAGATCCAACTTGGGGTGCTCATGGCCACATACGTGTCGCAAGCATTTGGTTTTCCCCCTTCCTCCCATAAATGTGGCTCAATTCATCGTCAAATGCGTTCTTCCCGTCCTCAAACTTCCCATCCGACAAGAAAGTATGTCTCTTCAGCGCCACATTCCAGCTAAAGGCACTGTGCCCAACCCCCCAAAACTCACTCGCTTTCTGCAGCACCAGGAAGTCTATAAAAGTCTGCTGTTCCGGCGTCAATCTGGCCAGCATCTCTATCTCCCTTCCCATGCCTAATAGATTAAACTTCGATGTTACGATCATAGGTTTTGCATCTTCTGCAAATTGCGAAACTTCATTGCGGTCCGTTGAGGCGACGTAGATGACGCTATAATTGGATTTGGATGCCTGTTCCAGGTACATCTTTGTCTCGTTTTCATACGCTGCGTATGTCCTGTCGAGCGCAGGCCAGCCGGCTTCGGGGCCTAGAGTGTCTTGATGTGTGTAGAGGTGTACGCCCATGAACTTATCCTTCGCGGCGGGTTCAGCGATATCCATGCTGAGATTATAGGTATCAGAGAGTCTTTGGAGAGTTATACTCGCGAGCTGGCGGATATCCATGCGCAATTTCAGTATGTTTCCGAAGGCATATGCGAAAGCTTTCCCGTCGTAGTAGACATCGTGGTACGGTTTTATCTTCCCAAGTTCGATAATAATGGATCGGAAAAGACCCGGGGGGGCGATGCTGCTGTCGATCAGGTCGAAGAATAATCCTCGCCATTCTGGCATTGGGGCAAGGGACAAGGTATCGGGACCAAAAGTGTAGATGGGTAGACGGTCGCCCCATTGAGGCGGTCTGTCGCCCACAGCCGCCTTAGACTCGATCAACTCCAACCGGGGACACGAGAGCTTGAGCGAGTCGTTGAAGTGCTGTGTGTCAAACATGAAATCCATATCCGCCCGGATCCAGTTCTGCACAATGATGCGGGGCAAGGTGAGTTTAGTTGCTCCCGCCTCAATCGCATATCGAACACAAGTAAGGATGGAGTTTCGAACTTGGGCGAGATTACCGGCAGCATTGTCGCATGTGAACACCAGACTGTCGTTCCAGTGTGACCGGGCGCACACATCTCGAATGGCCTGTGAATTGACGGGGCCGTATTCAATGGTCGAAGGCAGAGATTCTACGGGTCTGTCTTCCCAGGCTGCCGCCACAAGTAGTTCTTCTTGGCTCTGCGGTGTATTCGCATATGTATTCCATGGGATGTGTTTTGGGAAGATGTAGGGTCGATTGAAGGCTACCCAGAGCCAGAGAGCTGCGAGGACGAATCCTGCGAGCGCAGTATATCTGCGACTGAGTGCTTCTGGGAGAGCCATGATTCCTGTGGCATTCGCATCGGTAGTAAAGCAATCCGACTGCCAGGAACGAGGACAGAGAGGGTAGACGGGTAGATGTAGGAGAGATGGAGGTGGATTGGAGAGGCTGAGCTTATGAAGAGCAGTTCAAACAAGGCAAAGCGAGACCCCTGGGCTTAGCGAAACCCCTGTCACACCGATACGAGATAAAGCTTCGGCTTATTCTGGCCTTAGATATCAGGCCGCCAAGGAAACTGTCGGATTCAGCCATAAGCTGTGATATTCTCTCCCCTGGTAATTATGAAGAGCATCTTAAGCTTTGATTCAACCTGGGTAATCAACCCTTCAGATCCCATTTCTCAATTATATATGTCAAGCCCGTCATAGATAAGAGAGAGTATTCCGTACATTCCACGCATCCGTCTATCCAATTAAGATGACAAGAACCCATTTGCGCCTCCCGATATGCTCCATATACAGATATCATACCAAGAAAACACCCGGATCCAAAAGAAAAATGAAAAAAAGAGAAATAGAAATCAAGCCCAAGCGCCCACCAACGACATCAAAGAGGCCCCGCCAATAACTGCAGCGAAAGCTTCCCATCTCCTCCTTCCCTTCAGAATCCCATAACTTTTATCGCTCAGGAAATCCTCTGCTAGCAATTGGACCAGGCCTGCAAAGAGCAGCAATCCGCTTGAAATCCCGTTCATGAATCCGACCATCAGCAGCCCCGCCGCCGACTGCGGATCGTACAGCTTATGCACGATTAGTCCAATTGCTTGGCCGATAGGTGTCGTAGTCCCATATGCGAGGACCATAAGCCAGGGGCGCGGGGAGTGCGGGGGAAAGTTTATAGCTGCGATGCGGGAACCGAGAGCGAGGCCTTCGAAGGATTGGTGGAAGGAGATGGCAACCAGGAACACGACAAACGGGGGCCCGGTGGCTACTGAGACAGCCATGCCAATGAATACTGAGTGGAATAAGATGCCGGCTTCGAGGAGGAGACATTGAAGCATTTGTTTCCTACGTTCCTCCTCAGGGGAGAGCACGGATCTGTTGCGGGGTATGGAGTTTTCGATATCGGTATTTGAGCTCGTAGAAGCCTCACCGGTTGGGTCGAGTTCATCGAGATCGAGGTCGAAGTCATCGTCATCGTCATTTTCGTCGCGGTATTTCGAAGCTTCCCCGTCGGCTTCGGGGGTAGAAACTGGTAGTGGTGAAACTCCTGCAACCAGCCCTTCCGAAGCATCTATGTCTTCCAATGCAACGTTCTGTGAGCGGTGCTGCAGTCCCAGCTTTCCTAACTTCCCCCTGCCTTTGTTCCGCTGTGGTTCTGCAGAGCCATTTTGATAAGTGTCTTCCTGCTCTCCTTCTGGAATTGCGTCCCACGAATGTGAATGAGAATGCCCCGCGCCCCTCGTCGTCAGAAACATCTCAAGACCAACCACAACCAACGCGGCGAACATTGCAACCAGTCCCGCTAGAGGGTGAAAGCCCTCGCTGAAGAAATATGGCAGACATGGGTCTGTTAGTGATATGAATGCTGTCGGGAGGAGATGGACGAAAGCTGTTGCAATCAGAACGCCTGTGCCGAAATGTTGCGAGAGGAAGATGAATTTGCCAGCTTTAGTATTCTGAGAGGCTCGCCGGGATATCAGAGGAAATCCACAAGCTGATACATAACACGTCATTAGCTCTTGGACACCGCTAGCAGAGTGGAAAGCGCACCAACTATGCTCAGAACCAAGATGAGCACAAGTGCAAAGACGTGCGCTGCAGTATTGTAGCTTCCCTTATTCCCCGATCCGCACTGGGGTCTGGTCGCGCCTTTATCCCTCCGTGCCAGTTCCGCTCGCAGGAATTCCGTCGATACGCTGGACCACGAGGGAGCTGTGCCGTGTTAATAAGGGTGTCCCAGTGGGAAAGGGGGGTGATTATGCGAACCTGCGCTCGAGGCATGGCTGTTAATCATGTTGTCGTCCAGGTTATATTTCGAGAGATCCGCGGTATCATGGTGCAATGCCTCAAGAGCATGAGTTCCCAAAAACGGATTCAATTGGAGGATTGTGAATTTGAGAGGAAGACAACGACCTGTGCTTCACCATCCATGGCTGTTACGGCACCTCCCGCTATCCGAGGGCCTATCCGAGGGCATATGTGCTATTTTGCGCGTGTGGCGCTGTGGCTTGGTATGGTTATGTAAGCGCATAGCCCGTGCTCCCGATGCAAACTGCGATTGAGTGCATGAGAGAGCGAGTTAAAGACTTCCAGGGTTGATAAGTGGGATAAGTGAGTTGAATTGAGTTGAATAGAGCGGAAAGGTGAAGGCATTTTGTTATCAAAAGCGGCGAAGGCATCGATCCTTGCCCAATATGAATCGGTTCCAAGAGCCCTAAACTGAACCTATATTTCGACCCCTTTCCTCTCCCCTATAGTTAGAAATACCTTTTCATTCATTCTCATTTTTTTGTCTTTCTCTTAAGAACAGGTATATCTGTGGATTCAATAGTCGTGCTATCTAAGAACCCCTAATAAGTGGCAATAGTATAGTCGTCTTTCAGCTATTTCTAGCTAGACTTCTTACACAATGCCGTGCTCCAGTAGATGTTGTACCATACCTACAGTAGCCATACTCAGCTCTCTCTTATGTACCCCTCCCTCCACTAACCTTCCCCTTCTCCCCACCCCGGAACGGTAAAGGTGGGGGAACATATTCAACGCAGCTGTGTGTGTAGAGAATACTTGGATCTTGGCATCATAGATACATTCTGAATGCAAGCAAGTCCTTTCTCCTACATGGGTATTTGCAGCTCGCATCCGTCCAAAACATAGAAACCCGCTATCTGTACCTGCCTTAAATCATTCGCTTGGCCCCTCTCTCCACTCACTCCCATTTGCCACGCCGTCAACATGCGCACTAGGAAGCACTGCGTCCGCATCCTCCTCCTCGTCTTCCAGAGCACCCGCAAGCTCATCGGGGTCTCTCATCTTCGCATCATCATCCCCTTCCTGTGCCGTATCAATCACACCTTCCTCTTGACCTAGATACCTGTCCGCGCTCTCGCCCTCTAAAACACCGTCATCCGCACTGACGCTAATACCTCTATTTCCCCACCTGGAGCCTCCTGTCCGCCCTGGTGCCGGCCGTCCATTGTTTGCCAGCGCTGGGCTAGATTCCTCGTCATCCACATTACCCACTACTCTCTTACTCCCAAAGATACGCCTTAGCAACCAGCCATTCCTCAAATCATCTTGATCCACTAGACCTCCGTGCCTGAGCTTAACTCTCTGTCTACTGTAATAGACCCACGCAAAATCGATATAGAAGGCGGTCTGTAAGATGCCGAACACGACGGAAATTGGGTCGGGCTTGCGGTCATTGATGTCGACTTCGCGCCATATCCAATTCAGGATATAAAATGCGCGATAAGAGCCGAGCGTCAAGAGGTAGTAACTATCAATCACGGTGGGAACGGTTGTCTGACGGAGGAGAAGCAACTGAGGTAGGACGCAAACAGATTCGAGAATTATGGAGAAAATCCAGGATACCTATTCCGTCGAATGACCACGTTAGTTTCTGATATTCTGGGTATGATGTAGGTGAGGAATGAGGAGAACGTACCTCGACAAACCCATATTGGCTCTTGTCTCTGGCGACCAGCATGAGAAACGGGGCTCCCACCGCGGATACCGTAAGGCATATGCCACCCAGCTTCCAAGCCTTCTCTCGCTCTCTCGTACGCGCATAGACGCGCAACATCAAGAAAATAATATAGAGCGACGATAAGATATAGAAAGCCTTGAGAACAGTGTTCCAGAGGGATAGCGTGAAGTAGGCAAAGAAGTCAAGATAGCGCGAGATGAAGACGAGGCAGTAGAAGGCTTGCGTTATGAGAGAAATGCCTTCGGCAGAGGAGTTGGAGTGGATGGCCCATATTAGGATACATTTGGAGAGGGTGTGCGAGACGTCGCCTAGGATGCGGAATATCTGGCAGGGAGTGTTAAATAAAGGTTTGGGAAAGCGGGAGGGGGGGTATAGATGCGTACGTTCATAGACATTTTGTGGTGTTGTGGAAACCAGTCCAAAAAGAAGAGGTACGTTGGGTATTTGCTGGATGGTATAGCTGCAGCTGTTGAATCGAAGCTGGTTACGCGGCTTGGGGCAAGCTCTCTGGGACCATCGCAGTCAGATTCCTGCTATTCAACTCTGAGGCTTAAAAACGGTATCGCAGAGTAGTAATCAAATTCGGATTATCCTCTAAGAGTTCGTGGTAGATGTTGTTGGTATCGAAGGTTGGGGGTGGTCGATTACCTTACCTGAGTTGAAGCTCCAGGTGGCTTCTATCAGTCGGCCGCGTCACATGTCGCTTGTGGCTGGGCTTCTTCTTAGCTTCTTGGCTTGTGGTTGGTCAAACCTTATTTAGTTATTTATAGCTCCGGCGATCTTCCGTCACCTTTACGGAGTACAACTAGCTATCTTGGTATCAGACGAACATCCATGAAATACCTTGCTTGCACTCAAGACCCTCAGAAGATACAGTTACCGCTGGAGAGGATAAGGGTTGACGATTGGTATTTTCAAGAGCCATTCTTGCTCGCTGCGGCCCGGCGTTAAACCTAGGTTATACCAGAAAGCCATTCGTAAGGTATGCTATCATTGCTATGCGCCGGTGGGTATCAATCCCCGGTAACCCTTCTCTTGTATAAACATCATCTCTTCTCCGTTATTTCCCATGCAGCCCTTAGAACAGCTACTCCCCCGCCTTGGGTTTCCACAGTCCGTCCTCTACCCCGGTCATTGAGGTCGCCCCATCCAATTACTGTAGCATCCGATCCAGTAACTCCCTTCTCCAATCTGGCATTTCTACCGTGCGTCCTGGGTGTCTTCCAGTGAGATGGAATGCCCAGGTGTCGGTAATCTATCGCATGCTGCGGCAACTCCACCTCGGCCTCAAAGCCTTCTATGTCTACATCTTTTGGCGCACCCCACCACATCCCAAACCGCCCCTCCTCATCCCTGGTCATAAGCGCAGCCTTTGCATTATGCCGAATCCAGGCTGTGTACTGAAGGCAGGAAGCATCATGCCACCTTTTATCATCTTCGAAATCCTCCTCGACGAATTGTACAGTGGGAAGTACTAAATACTGGGGTAAACGAGCACAGAATAGCGTGAAATGGTGGAAGAAAATTCCCTTGAAGGTTTGTCCGTCCTGAGAGCAGTATCCAGGTGCGTCGCATGCTTCTTCCATAATTCCAGATCGTCCTAGTCCGTACCATTTCCCGGACCCTAATCTCTCGTGTAGCTCTATGGGGGTATTGTGCCATAAATCCCACCCTGTGGCTCGTATCACGTGTTGGACAAGGTTGTGTCCATCTTCCAGGTAACTCCTTGCGCCTGTAGCTTCGTATAATCCACGTAGGCCGGAGAGCAAAACACCTTGGTTGTACGTATATACCATTTCGTTCCTGTCGTCGCAAAGCATTTTGCGCGTGCTGTTCTTGGGTCGTTCAGGTGACCATGCAGAAACATGGAAACCATCAATAAATAGTCCTTTAGCATCGGTCATATTGCTGCCCTTCAACCATTTATACGCTTCAATTGCGGCAGCCAGGTATTTGGGGTCATGGGGTTTTCCGGGCTGTGCGCCGTCGACGGAGTGGGGTGGTAAGCCGAAAGGGGAGGTATTCTCGTCTCCAGGGAAGTAGAGGTACATCGATATGCTTGCGGCTATAAATAACTCATTTGTGATGGCATTTTTGTAGGGCACGAGATAAGGGCTCCAGATCATGCCCCCGTTGCAGAGCAGTGTATCCCAGCCTTGACTTGCCATGTCCCAGAATATGCGTGCCCGGTGGGCGAATGCGGGGATATATTGGATTCCGTACCAACCTCCTTCCTCTACGGAGGAGGATGAATTGTAATGTAGGGCTGAGTGAGTATCGATGAATTTTATGGTCTCCAACCATCCGAGCACTACCCAGAGCATGTCATCGTATGCCTCCTGCCGTAATGCGAACGCATCCTGCCCAAAATAGCTGCCAATTAATTGAGAGAAGTATCTGTTGATCAAGTTTTCGTTGTCTTTCGAAGATTGGAGGCTCGAGTAAGACGTGGAAAGGGTCGTTAGGGCCGCGGAAAGGTGTGTCCCGGTCACAGCTGAGGTCCAATCTATGGCTGTTGGCCACATGCCTTCCCATATTGCAAAGTAGTCTCGCTGTAACACGTCCAGCGCATTGAGAAAGTCGGGGAGGATTGGATGTCTGCTGCTGTCGGGGAGAGGTTTCTGTTCGTGAGAGACGGCGCGCTCAGGGAAAGGTGGACTCTGTTCCTGCAGTATCAGGTGTCCAGATGAGCCAATTGCAAAGAAGAGGCCGTAAAATATATAACAGAGGAAAATGATGGTTCGCCGCGGTCGTCTATCCGTCGCAATCGCATGGGGAAGCATGATGGGCCGGGGTGGGCCAAGAGCCGGAAACGGAGAAGGCAAAGAGGCAGAAAGGACCATTCATGGAGCGAAGAACGAAGACATGGACCTGAGACTTCGGGGATAGTTGAGAAGTCCAAAGGAGTCCCAGACCATGGTGGAGAGGGGCAGTTAGAGGAGAGAAAGGAGGAGACGAGGAAATGGAGACGACGACGTCGTCTCGAGGAGAGGGGGTCTATCACTGTAACATTACCACATCTAGTTTAGCTCAATTGCGGGGCTGGTCCTTAGCGGCACCCGGCCCCACGGCGGGGTCCTGTATATTTCGCTTACCGTACGGAGTAAGAGTCTGATTTCACCTCTTCTTTTCTTCCCTCCAGGGCAGATTTGAAGCTGCAGTATTCTTATCATCAAACCAAAGCATATGGCTCTTGATAGAGAGCGTCTATGCAATATTTGAACTACATATCCCGTCAATCATCACTCAAAAGTCTGAGGTGTCAAGGACTGGAGATTCTTCCCCGCGCCCATCTAAACCGTGATCCGAGGTTGCAAATCCCTGAAGTTTTCTCCGTCACTGCTTTATAATCTCTAGGATCATGCTTTTTTGGTCATATATGGCTTGTACATAGCCTTTGGATCAAACATTACTGCTTTGTGTCCATTATTTACAAGTGTCAATGTCGTTTCCTTTGGAAGTGATAGGAAAGACAAAGCTATTTCAATTAGTAACTCTCTTCGCAAGGAGTTGGGCCATAAAACACACATTTTGGCAGTAGATGGGATCTTGAACTTCTTCTCTTTGTGTGTCTCTGGGTCAGCCAGATACATTGCCTGGAAATGGACTCGGCTGGCAGGCAATAGCCGCGCGAATGGCGTCGTCAACGAGTGTTGGAGGGGGTGTCTGCTTCATTCCTGTTATGTATCTCGTATTGTTCTCTGCGAAGCGGTATCGTTCGTCTTATCAATTTGAGATCTGGCAGCTACAGTTGCACTCCTGCAAATGGGAGCTAAACCAAACGTGCAAGACCGAGAAGGAATCTTCCCCCTCTTTTGGGCTCTGTTCAATGGGGATGTCGCTCTCGTCGCAACGCTAATCGAGCACGGTGCAGATCCCATCGTGTTCGACAGTGACGGTTGCAGTGCCCTGCACTACGCGGCTATCAATGGCTACACGACGGCTTTAAGCTCCCTGATCTCTCTCAAAGCCGACGTCAATACCCAAGATACAGAAGGTTGCGCTCCTGTTTTTTATGCAGTGCTTACAAGTCATCCCGAAGCTGTTGAAATCCTCCTGTTGAATGGCCGAGATCTTGTCAAGCAACAGCCTGAAAGTCAAGTTTGATCATGAATTTCTTTACTTCTTGTGAGAGTTATGGAAGGCTGTCATCTATTTTGGGAAAATGGAATTTGGAATTACCATCTATCCGTTGGCTAGTTAAGCTGTAGCAGAGCGTTGACATCTCTTTTCATAACCTGACTTTATCGCTCTCGAACGGATCATTAGTTATGCATCCCTAGAAATATAAATATCGTGTAGCTATCAATAATGTCTTAACAGGACTCAATACGAAATGGTACTTAGAGCCCACAATTGCACAGATTTCATCGGACTTGTTGAGCGCAACCTTAGATCTTAAGGGGCTAAGATCATATGTGCAGGAAGATGTTCACTTGACATGCCATCCCCCGAACCAAATGCAACAAGCTCGATCAAGCCAACGCCCCCTTCAACACTTTCCACATCCATCCCCATCCACCAAAGAGCGCCGTCGCACCCGTCGCCACAATAATCGGGCCATACTGGGAATTATACCCCGAGCTGCCGCTCATGCTCCAAGCGCCCTTCAACAAGCCGCCACTCACCGGGCCACCCACCACAAAGCCCACGCCTCTCCCCCCTAGCAGGAGTCCCATGACAAGTCCCGTATCCACATTACTATTCTCCCTGCGCATCTCATGCAGGACGCCAGGGTACGTACTGCTGAAACCGCCGGCGAAGAAGCCGTACAGGACAGCGAAGGTAGCTAGGAGCGCGACGTTGGAGCTGAGGCCCCAGAAGAGGAAGACTGCGAGAGTGGAGCCGAGCGAGGAGATGAGGATCACGTTCGTGGGCGCCAGATGGTCATTCAGCAGGCCGGTGATGAAGGAACCGGGGACGGACGCTAGCGAGACGACGGCAATGAGAAGGGCGCCTGTGATGGAAGGGAGGCCCAATGTATGCGCGTAAGAGGAGAGGTAGGTGGTTGGCAGGAGATAGCCTAGGCTCTGGATGATATTCCCGGTCTGCAGCATCCAGAAGGACGTGAGTTTCAAGAAGCCCCACGAGAGAGGCCGGCGCGAAGTAGTGGCGGAGATCGGGATGCGCGGTTTGAGAGCGAAGAGGAGAGGCGCGGTGAGAATGACGAGGGAGACTGCCCAGGCTTGCAGCGTCGTGCGAGGGCCGAAGCGGGAAAGGAGGGAGGACATGATGAAGGGGAAGACGCAACCAGCGAGAGATTTGCCGGCCCAGATCGTGCCATAAGCCATACCTTTGCGGGCGATGAACCATTCATCAAGATATAAAGTGGTGGGAGAGAAGAGGAGGCCGCTGCCAATGGCACAGAGGACGCCTTGAGAGGCGATGAGTTGCCAGACCTTGGTGGCGAAACTGGACATGATCAGGGAGGAGACAGCCATTACCAGTCCAACTGGTCCACAGTATGGACGGAGTCTTGGGTACCGGGTTAACAAGGTGAAGGTAAGTGGCATCATGAGATACATTACTCCGTTCAACGTAGTTCCCACGGTTGCGATGGAACCGGGAGAGACTGAGATGAACGGTGAGGAGGGGGAGGTAGTGTAGTATTCTTGGAAGACACCAAATGAGAGGGAATATCCTATATTTTCATGAGACTATGAGATAGATAATTCCAGGTTTATTGCGTACCCCAGACGGGTGCTTGGATGACCGTACACCCTAGGAGGACGAGGTAGGCGTCTCTCCCATGGTCGGTTGGAGGGAGAGAAGGTATCTCAATCTCAGCAGTTGGTTCGCTGTCTGCGGCAACGATATCAATTTCATTTTGTGCGGTTGAATTATGGCTGCGTATACTCTGCAGCTCAACACCACTTCGTGATGCCATTATGCGTTATTGTAAAGGTTACTGAACAACCAAAGAATAAGAAGTTTCTAGTAGTTTTAATGAATGTAGATTTGTGTTGAAGATATGGGACAAGAACCCCATTTATGAAATTCCAGCTCGTCATGCGCCGGCAGAACGCTTGTGGCTTGAATTGCAACTATTCAGGGTTTGTCGTCGTGCAGCCAATGAACTCCGCGAGTACTTGGCCGACTCCGCCGCAGCCTTGAGCATCGACAACGAAAGAGGAAACTCGGAGCAAGACTGATAAGTTGGTACGGCAAAGGAAGATCGCAGGACTTAGAACAAAGAGAGGAAAGAAAGAGAATGAAAGAAAAATATAAATGAGCGCTCCAGGTGAGCGAGCCGATAACCTCCTCCGCACGCCGCCTCTCTCCTTCGCAACTGGAATCGAGAAAGGGGTAATAGGAATCGTTTCCCGGGGACATAGGATGCGCCTATCCCTTCAATTCCTGGTAAGAAAGGGACAAGGTAAGAGGCCTTAAGAAGTTCGACATCTTAAGATCGCTTTCTTGACTTGCACGCCACGTAAGTTACGAGGCACCTACTCTGAAGATTAGCTCTCACGTATATCTAGGTTGTCATTTAGAGAGTTCAGGGACGAGCCGTAAGAGAACCGCCCTCGCCCTCTCGAATCTGAATCTGTTAAAGACTATGTCGTCTATGAGAACGCGCGCCGCCCCTTCACGGCTGAAGGACTTCTTCCGCTTCTATAACCTATAGAGCATAGGACATCTTAAAGAGCACCCTGCTACAAAGAATAACCAAATATACTGGTTGCTTCTGACGAGTTGCAGTGCCTTGGCGTTTGGAAGACGCTGCCCTGAATCCTACCTTTGTTAATGTTGGGTACCTTAGACCCCGCAAATATACACCCTCCAATATTCTCACATCAGAGCAAACCAACGACCAAAAAAAAACATGTCGATTGTTGAAAGCAATTCTGGCGGTAGTCGACATGGAGGAGAGGAAAGCAGCGATGGATTTATAGTCCAGGTCTGCCTAAGGCGGCGCTCCCCGAGCGCTTAGAGCGGCGCGCTCACACGGCTTTGGCCTCGCACACCTCCAGTTTGGATTTCAACTGTCCGTGGCGCCTCCACACCACATCTTCCCCACGTACTCCACCACACCTCCAATACCGCAATCATGGCTGACGATAATACAATGGATATCGACGTGGAGCCCGTCGCCTCTGCGCCAAAGAGCACCACTAGCATGACGACGCACAGCAACGCGACCGCGGTGCGCTCAATTGAAGGCTGGATCATAATCGTCACAAACGTGCACGAGGAGGCTTCAGAGGAAGATCTAAACGACAAGTTTGCCGATTTTGGGGAGATTAAGAACTTGCACCTGAATCTGGATCGGCGTACTGGTTATGTGAAGGCATGTCTTCCTCCACACTCTTGCCCCCTTACCCTCTTACTTTCTCTACGCGATGCGGTTTCGACGAATGTCCTGAGGTCTGGGATGGATAAGTCGCTGACCGTCTGGATAATAGGGCTATGCGCTGATTGAATACCCCACGCTGGACGAGGCGCGCGCCGCGATCGATGGGGCGCACAACACAAAGCTGCTCGACCAGACCATTGAGGTGGATTTCGCGTTCGTGAGGCCGCCACCTGGGAAAGGGGCACGTGGAGGTCGCGCACCGCAGAAGGGAAGGGCCAGGAGTCGGAGTCGTAGTCCGGGAGGGGCTCGCAGTCCGAGGGATGATGTTATTGAATGAGGACTCGAGGAGGTTTCGTTACATCCACAAAAAAAGGGTGATGGGAAGATCATAATAACGCGCTGAGGATTTGGATGGGCATGTTTGCCGGGGAGAATGGGAGAAAGATACCTGTCAGTCAGAATAGAGCGCGACAGAAGAAAAGGCCGATGTGTCCATAGAGAGACATATCGGCGTGTGTTACTTGGCTATTATGGTAAGTCATTCCAACCTCCAAGTTCCAAGTATACCTAAGAGGTTTGGACCGCTGACCATCAGATACAGAGCCTGGACATCAATCAGAATGACACATGCTTTTCTACTTTCGAATTCAATGGCCATTGACCGGCCAAGCTCCCATGAATCAGCCCACGATATTATACTCTACGCTTGAGTATGCATCGCCTTCTTCGTAGCTAACCCTAATTTTAAGTTCTATTAATGTAGGATGAAGGTTGCCATGGATGGCGATACGAAGGTGTGGTTTTATGGTAGTACAATACTGCGATGTCCAACTAGGAGAGACGATTTGCAAGGCGATACTTAAGTCTGAGTTGGGGGATGTTTTACTTACACTTCAGGAGTCTGAAATTGTTGTAAATTCTCGAAATCCACCCATTGAGCTTATCCTTTGGATGTGTTATGATTTGACTGGGCTTGAAGACTTAGATTCCTAGGAAATTAACCCCCCCCCCNCTCT